TTTCAAATTCTTTAAAGATCTCCCCCCATTCATTCGTCCGTCCGTCCGTCCATCCATCCATCCATCCATCCATTTATTTATGGATGACCTGGAACTCGCTCTGTAGACCAGGATGGTCTTGATCTCAAGGTCCACCTGCCTCTGAGTGCTGGGATTAAAGGTGTATGCCACCACTGCCTATTTTTTAAATTAGGTCTTTTTTTAAGTTGCTGAGTTCTTCTAATTCTTGATATATTTTGGCTATTAATCCCTTATCAGATATAGTACTTGCAAATATTTCTTCTCTTTTTTTTTTTTTTGAGACAAGGTTTCTCTGTAGCTTTGGTACCTGTCCTAGAACTAGCTCTTGTAGACCAGGCTGGCCTTGAATGCACAGAGATCTGCCTGCCTCTGCCTCCCAAGTGCTGAGATTAAAGGCATATGTTTCCTTTTGTTTTTAACTGCATTACGAGTTTAATACTTGCTGATACACACAAATTTTAACTTTTCATGAAGTTCAGTTTGTGAGTCTTTGTGTTAAAAGTTTTAGCCCTCACTCATCTAAACTATATGTATATCCTACCTCTGTTTATCAGTGCTCAGATTATAGGTATGCTTCACAAGTTTTTAAGATTTTTCTTATCCCATAATTGTTTTTTTGTTTGTTTTTCCAAAAATCACTTAAAGTATGAAGATTTACTTCTGGCTTCTTGTCTCAGTTCTTTTGGCCTCCGTATCTGTCTTTGTGCTAGTACCAGGTACCATACCATAGTAACTGCTGTAATTTTTTAGTAGAATCCTCCTCTGTGTTCTTTTTTCAATTGTTTTTAGTTACTAATGAATTCAGTCTTTAAGATTTAATATCCATGGGACTGGAGAGATGGCTTAGCAGACTGGCTGTTCTTTCAGAGGACTCGAGTTCAATTCCTAGCACCACATGGCAGCTCACAACTGTTTGTAACTCCAATTCTAGGGTATCTTGTACCTTCACACCAATGCATATAAAAAAAGTTAAGTAAATTGTTTTTTAAAAAGTTCAATATCCAAAAAAAAAATTCAATATCCACTTTAGGATTAGAGAGATTAACCTTCTAATACATGAATGTGGGACATATGCCATGTTTCGATTTCTTCTTTATAATATTCCTTTAAGGGCTGGAGAGATGGCTCAGAGGTTAAGAGCACTGACTGTTCTTCCAAAGGTCCTGAGTTCAATTCCCAGCAACCACATGGTGGTTCACAGCCATCTATAATGAGATCTGGTGCTCTCCTCTGGTCTGCAGGCATACATGCAGGCAAAACTCTGTTTACATAATAAATCTTTAAAAAAATAATATTCCTTTAAATGGTTTGTTACAGATTGCTCGCTGTAAGCAGCTCATCTGCGACCCCAGCTATGTAAAAGATCGGGTTGAAAAAGTGGGTCAGGTAATCAGAGTGATTTGTATCCTTAGCCACCCTATCAAGAACACCAATGATGCCAATTCCTGCCAGATCATCATTCCACAGAACCAAGTCAACCGCAAGTCAGGTGAGTTTTGGAGAACAGCCAGTGAGGGTAGAATTGTGAGATTTCTTAGTGTTTTCACCGTTATTCCTGGCTTTACTTCTTACTTTAGTAGAGACTTTAGTTTGATACTGGAAGCAGACCTGGGAAGCCGGATATGGTCCTTCTAGCAGCAGTGCACTGAACTGTCAGCCTGGTACCTATTGCCTTGAATCTTGGCTTCACGGCTAGAATGAACACACTACATAGATGGACTCTTGCAAGCTTCCAGCATTCATTTATTAGTTCAACTGACATCACTGTGTTTGAGCTGATTCTGTGTCGTGGTTCTAATGATTGTGTTTGTTTTAGCAATGTGCTAGGAAACTGTTAATTTCTCTGATTCAAGTCAGGACTTGGTCTAAAATTGCAATTCAAATTTTGCTATAACCAGTGATGTTCAACTGTATTTTATTTTTAGCTAGAAGCCCCACATCTCAGATTTCACTGAAGAGTTTTCAGTATTATGATTTTTTTCCCCTTCCACATAAGAAAACCATACCACAGAATATTTTCACTAGAAAAAGATACACATTTTTAAAAGTGATTCTGAAGCAGATACCTGTGAAGAACTTAAAAATTCCAAAAATTATTTCTACATTAGAAATTATACTTGGAACAGAGGTTAGATATGGTAATCTGTAAGTATTAATTTTCCAGTAAGTAAATGAGGAAATTAGTACTTAAAAGCCTCTTAACTATTAAAAACCTTTTCAAATACAGAGTGTAGAGCAGCAGAAAATCCCTTAAGTTTTTCATTTGTTATTTTTTTTGAGACAGTCTGTCTGGCCTTGAACTCATCATATAGACTACCACATCCAGCTAGTAAGATTTTTTAGATTTGGTCTTGTCCAAATCTAAAATTTGGTCTAGTGCAGAGTTTATCTCCAGGTTTAGTAGTTCACAGTCGCATAGATCCTCAATCTTACAGTTTCAGCGAGCTTTTCCACGGGAAACTGCCCTGTCAAAGGAAAGATTTTGGCTCACGTTGTCAGTGTAGTCAATTCACTCCGTTGTGTTGAAGGCAGAGTATTATGACAGTGGGAGTATCTGGCAGCGAAATCTGCTTAGGTCATGCAAACTAGGGCAGCAAAGACAACAAGTAAAAAAGGGTCTTGGGCACGAGTTTATACCCTTTCATAGACATGCTGGAGAGGTTCTCTATTTAGGATTTGTGGTGGGTCGAACAACCCTCTCACAGGGATCATATCAGATATCCTGCATATTATATATTTACATTATGATTCCTAAATCATAACAAAATTACAGCTGTGAAGTAGCAATGAAAATAATTTTATGGCCGGGCTGTGGTACGCATGCCTTTAATCCCAGAATTCTGTAGGCAGAGACATTCAGATCTCTGAGTTCATGACCAGCCTTGTCTACAAAACACATTCCAGGACAGCCAGGACTGTTACAAAGAAACCCTGTCTCAGAATCCAAAATAAGCCAACAACAAGAATAAAAACTCCAAAAAATAGTAATAATTTTATGGCTAGGGGTCACAATATTAGGAACTGTAAACCACTGTGCTAGATCCTATTTCTTAACAGCCCATTCAGCTGTGAACTCATCAATGGATTGATGAAATTGGCACTTCACTGACCCGTTCATCTGTCAGAAACACCATCAGCAGAGGACCAATCCTTCAGAGTATGAATCAATTTTAGATCCAGATTATGTGGTTAAGAGAAATTTCAGTTAGTAAATATTTGTACCAAGACTTAGTTTATTTCCGTTTACAGTAAGTTTAGACAAGAACCTGTTTAAAGTAATTTTAATTTATAACAAAGTAAAACCTTGTGATACTTGAGTATACTTGTGTCCAAAGTTTACAAACACCAGGGTGTATGTTATTTTTTGCTTTTAGATATCTATGTTTGTATGATCTCCTTTGCACACAATGTGGCAGCACAGGGCAAATATATTGCCATTGTAAGTACAACTGTGGAGACCAAGGAACCAGAGAAAGAAATCAGACCAGCTTTGGAGCTCTTGGAACCAATTGAACAGAAGTAAGTATTGTGTTGTCAACTGAAACTGAAGTGTTGGTGTCTGCTGAATGGTCAGGTAATTCTGGGAACAAGACAGGCCAGCCATTGGCTATGAATCCCTAGAATGCCTTGCCCCGTCAGTCTTATGCTTTCAAAGCAAAGCAGTGATGTTGGTCTGTTTCTTCCCATATAGATTTGTCAGCATCAGTGACCTCTTTGTACCTAAAGATTTGGGATCAGAGAGCCAGGTGAGTGTGATCTGAAAAAGATGTTACCAGATTTTATTGGGGAGCATCCCTAAGTAGTCTGAAGTCTTCTATAATTCTTAATTCCAGATCTTTATTTCCCGTGCATATGATGCTACCACTCACTTTGAGACAACCTGTGATGACATTAAAGATATCTATAAGAGAATGACAGGATCTGAGTTTGACTTTGAAGAAATGAAGCGCAAGAAGAATGACATTTATGGAGAAGACTAACAGCAGTACATATTATGTAATTAGGACAAACAAAATTTGGCAAATAATGTATATTGTATGAAATCAATATTGTAAGCCCTGCTTTTATGATCAAAATGGAGATTGAAGAGTGCTATACCAGTGAATACTTCTCCCCTTCACTTTTCTAATATCATGTATTAACTTGTTTTCATGGAATGGCTGGCTAGTCAGAATTGGTTGGTTCTGTTCAGTTTAACCAGACAGGCTTTTTTCTAGTGAAGGAGCCGATCTAAACAAATATTGATACTGATAGAGAACTTGATACAGTACTTGTATCTTTTAATCAGTGTAACCTTTGCAATTGTGTGCCTCTGCTCAAGAGCTGGATCTATACATTTTGTGCCATCCTGATATTGGAAGTCTAAATTGAATATCCTTTTGTTTGAGAAAACTAAATGTTTTCTCAAGTATTAAAGCAGGGCCCAAATAGTTGACCCACATGTTTTATGTGGGCATAAACTTCTAACCAAACTTCATTCAGACTTAGCGAGTTGTTTGGAAGAAGCTAGTATGTGGTATTTTAACCTACTACAATTGCTGAGAAGGGGAAAGGAATCTTACGGTAAGCAGGTAAAATATAGAAGCACCTTTTATCCCAGGTATGGCTTCTTCAATGGACCAAGCTGCAATGCAGTATTGATTTGACAGAGCCTTGATTTCAATGATGTCTGTCTCAAAATGGCTCCAAATGATTTCTGTACTGCAAAATAAAGCCAAACTCTGGAAACCACTGTCCTCCATATTGTCTGTGTCCTGCTTGTAAACACAACTGTCGTGCACTGCCTTCAGGAGAGCTGAGGCTATTACTACTATTACCTGATAGGTTTAGATGGAAGTCATTTCCTCGCTTCATTATGACATTTTATTCTTAATGTTGTACCAGGCTCACTGTAGTAGGATTCTTCTTATAAAAGCATGTGGTGAATGGCCTAAGCCTTGCTAAAGACTATACACAGATTGAATCACAGCACAAACAACTGCATTTTAATTCTTTATTTAAAAAAAAAAATAAAAAAAAACCAACCCAACCCCAAACTATGTATAAAATCCTTTGTTCCAAATAGATAGTATACAAATGGTTTCTTCTTGTGTGTATTTTAAAGACTTAAGAAAGTTCTAATATCATAAATAATTTCTTCCTCAGATTGATTTTTTTTGTAGTGCAGCATTTAAAAAAAACCCAAGTGGAAAAGTGTACAAATTTGTCATTTACGAAAAAGATGATTTTTCTCTTTGTAGTGTTTCTTAGGCAATAGCAAACAAAACCATTACAGATTATACTTTTTTTTACAATGTGGTAAAACCTCTGAAACATGCACTTCATAAGCCTCTAACCACACGTGAAAATGGCTATTTGTTAAAATAGACTTTACTTTTGCTAGGTAAACATGTGAAGGTCTCAATTTTAATATTAAGCTCAATAGTTTTGAAGGCATTATATTTAGAATGAAAATTTTACTAAACATTGTAACCCAAAGCTAATGGCAACTATGGTCTGATGAGACATTCTAGCAAAGTATAAAAATGAAAACATGGATTTTTTTTCAAATGAGGATTGTTTGTATGTATTTGAAGTTTTTCAGACACAGGAAAATACTAATTTATTGTTGGCGTCTTCCATGCCTACCCTCAACTCCAAAACGTAGTTTAATCACCTGTAGAAACACAAAATTGGTATGATAAATGACTAAGAAATACTCATAACTGGGACAACTATACATTCATTTTACTATCTCCCCTGTCAACCCAGGCTGGCTGCAAGTAAATTGAAGTGCGCCTTTAATCCCAGCAGGAGGCAGAGACAGGTGAATCTCTTGAGTTTGAAGCCAGTATAAGAGCTAGTAATTCCAGGACAGGCTCCAGAGCTACAGAGACCCGAACCTCTCCCCCCCCCCCCCCCCAAGTGTATCCCATTTGAATTTAAAGAGCCATTTTAAACATTCTTTTCCTCAATGGCAGTGTCTGCTGCCAGTAATTACAGCTTACTCTGGAAGTTTTACAAAAAGTCCTTACCAATAGCTACTCCTAAATGGAGCTGCTATATTTTGTATATTTTCAGTGAAGTAGTTTACATCTGTAACAAGGATTCCACTATTTTCAAAGACTTCTGGGGATGCCATGGGCTTGTCTGTAAAAGAAGAAAAACTGTGACAAAAAGCCAGTATTCCCATTTTTTTCTAAGTAGCAGAATTCACTAGAATGAGAAACACTAAGACATATGGTAGTAGAATGAGGAGGAAAGGGGCATAATGGAAAACTACTGGTTTTAGTAAATAGGGCTCACGGAAAATGTGAAAAAGAAACATGTACTTTGTAGGACCCGATAATATTAGAGGACTATTATCCTCTGGTTCTGGGTATCTGTGGGTAATTCCATATGTATCTAAGGCATTCAATAACTACTTAGGAACGATAGTTCTAGAGCTGTCCTGTTTTAGCATTAACTGAGAAATGAAGATTAGAACTCAGATTAAATTTACCTGTTAGGAAGACAGCAAACCTGGCACTGATATGCTGAATTTGCAGGTTTAGCAAGCATTTCAAAATTTCAGCTTTTGTTGGTGATGGAGAGTCACAGTTGTGATAATGAAGCAATTCAATGATATTTACACTCTGGTATGATTTCAGAATTAAGTTCTTTTTATGCGCGATTGAATCTACCCTGGAAAAGACAAAGGAATGTTAGTAGCTTTTCTTGCTTTCATTGAAAAGAAAAAGATTTTAAATTGTGTATCTGTAAAAGAATATGCACCCTAAGAGTCCAAAAGAGTGTCTGAGACTCTGAATGTGGAGTTATGGGCAGTTGTGAGCCACCCAATGTGGGTGCTGGGAATTGAACTTCATCTCTCTAGCTCTTTGCTTTCAGTTTTAGCTGCTTGTATTAAAACAACACTTGGTCAAAAAGCCTGCCCCTTTTTTCTTGATGTTCTTTTTCATGGCAAAATGGCCAATATGTATGCACTGCTCTGATTAGTTGCCTCTAAACTTTACAACAATAATGAACTCCTTTGAAAATATAGACTGTAACCTTGGGCCTCAGAATGAAACCCATGTAGTTACTGCCACTTCAACCAGTAACTAGAGGTCCTTCAAAGTTCTCAGGCAGTTACACAATTGCAACTATGCTTTCTCACTGATCTTATAATTGGATCACTAATTATATGTAAACCAACAAATCTTCCTTAGGGGTGATGGAAAGGTCTTGCTCCATAGTTCAAATTGGCTTATTAATTACTGTCATCCAGAGATTTCCTTCTGTTTTTGCACTTAGTCCTGGGATTAGACTCTGCTGCCATACCTGACAGCAACTGGTCTAATCTAATTTATGTTTCATACTTAAATTTTGTGGTCAGATTATCAATCTCAGTGAAACTAAGCAGTAGCCAGACTTTTCTTAATTTTTTTACCTCTATAATATCTTACTTTCTCTTTTTTCTTCTCCTAGAGAAAAATCTCTTTAGTTCTTTAAATTTATTTACCTATAGGTGTGTACCTGATAGCTTTAATACATGATTATTATTGCTGTTAAACCTTTCCTCTAAAATGCTGGTTAGCAGGGGATGAAGAGCTTTGCTATTAAGAGCACTGGTCTGATCCAGCACCCATATGGTGATTCCTACCTTTGAGGGAATCTGATGCCCTCTTCTGGCTTCCAGGGGCACTGCATGCATATGGTACATACATGCAGGCAAAACACCAACACACCATCTTTCAAAAAGCTGGTTAGCAAGATCTTCTATGAGTTCCTGACCATACCCTCCAGTCAGGTATGCTTGGTTCACTATCCCTACCTTGTTAGCAGGCCTTCTCTTGGCTAGCTCCTGCCCCAAGGAAAAACCTGAAATTTTATTCTGTCTATAATCTATGTGTCTGTATGCAACTGCATGTCAATGTAAGTGACATGGATGTGCAGGTGCCCATAGAGGCCAGAACAGGGCACTGAATCCTTTGGGGCTAGAGTTACAGATGGTTGTGAGTCACCGAATACAGGTGCTAATATCCAAACTCTTGATGGAGCAGCAAGTGCTGCTAACTGCTATTTCTACAGTCTGTACTGTCTTTAATGTCTACAGTCTGTAATGTCTTTAATGTCTACAGTCTGTAATGTCTTTAATGTCACACAATATACTTGCTCCTAGTGTCTGAAGAAAGCAATGTTAAAAGTATTCAATAATTTAGCGCTCAAAGTCTGGAATGGATGGTCAGTTTCAAAACTAATAATTTTCTCATGTTCAGGCTTGTTTTCTTGGTATTACTGTGTCAAGTGTGAATGAGACCGTTCCTTTTAAAGTATCTAGTACCTGGTGCCTTTTTAACAATGCCTTATCCATTTTATCTTTCTCAATCTACTTAACTAGTTTCCTACTGTTCCCAGAGAACTTGGATTCACACTTTGAATGTGGAGAAACTCTTATAGACTCCAAGCTCTTGAGCCAAATCAAGTAATTTTCTTTTTTTAAAAAATCCCTGCTTTGATGCTGGGGATGTGGTGTGGTCAGTAAAGTACCTGCTGGGCATGCATGAAGACTTGAGTTTAGACCCCTAGCATCCATGTAAAAAGCCAGGTGTGGTGCACACATCTGCAACTCCAACACTGGTGGGAGGTGAGGGCAGGCTCACTGGCCAGCCAACCAGCCAAGTTCAATCCATGAGTTAAAGATTCAGTGAGACCGTCTCTTAAAAAATAAGATGGGCAGTGATAGAAAACACCTGACAGACTGCCAAGCTCTGTGCAAACAAGTGTGTAACCCACACAAACACATACACAAATCACTGCTTTAACTTGATATGCCTGGGTTCGAAGGCCTGCACTTTTCTGAAGAGAGGATGTGTGTGTTGGGAGTGGGGGGTGGGAAGGGACTGAGAAGAGGAAGGAACACTGGGCTGCAAAAAACTTTCTAAAAGCAATCAAAACAACAAATCACTGCTTTAGATTTACGGCAACCTGTCTACTGTTTAAATCCAATACCCTGAAAACTCAAAATAAGAATCAATATCCAAAAAAGCACCAGCACCAAGCTCACATTTCACCATATTTCTGCATATGGCAGCAGAGCCTGACTTAGCTGTTGATGTTGCTGTAAATACAGCTCTCACTGGATGCCCTATTACAAAAAACAAATCCCAAAGCTACCCTGCAGACCTAAGTCTTAGGAAGCCAAGCTTTAATATTCACTCTGACACCATTCTTGTAGCTGTGGTGCTTGAGTTACACTAAGGCACATGGAAAACTGGGACTAGGGTATTTGCACCTTTCTCCACATGTACATACCTGACATCTTCCTTGAGCTTTTTATTCTCTCTGTAGTGAAGCAGCCACTTCCATCTTCCATTTTCATTTAGTTTTTCCAGGATTTTGACAATTTCCTTCAGTTGAACTATAGAGTAAGTTCAGCAAAGAGAAGATGTGTCTTAGTTTTTATTCGTGCAAGGTCCATTAGTTGTCACTTAGGAACAATCAGACCCCTGTCTCCACCTCTTCCATGTCCAGCCTCAGAAACACATAACCTGTGAGACTCCTCAAACCAGTTCTACCCAGTCACACTATATTGGGAAACAACTGTGAAAGGACACATGCTAAAGCTCTGAAACAGCCACATGACAGACATAAGCAGTAGTCCAGTGCAGTAGAAAAGTTATGTATTTTTATTAACCTAATAATTTATGCTGATGAAGGTAAACTGATTGAGAAATGGTATTCAAATTATTCTGATGTGATCAGAGTTAAGGCAGGTTTAAAAAGTAAATTCTACATTAGACTGTTCAAGGTATTAACCAGGATGACTTGAAAGGCATTTTTCTTTTTTTTCTGGTTTTTTGAGACAGGGTTTTTCTGTGTAGCTTTGGAGCCTGTCCTAGAACTTGCTTTGTAGACCAGGCTGGCCTCGAACTCACAGAGATCCACCTGCCTCTGACTCCCAAGTGCTAGGATTAAAGGTGTGTACCACCACTGCCTGGTCAGGAAGCCATTTAAAAAAAATTGTTAATATTAAGATATTGGGCCTTGTGCCATTAGAAATGGAGAACTGATTCTTAAAAAAACAAAACAAAACAAAACAACAAAGCCCTAAAATAGTGCTGATCTGCCAAGTGTTAAGAATGACTACACTAAAAGGATTTGGTGCAATTGGCACAAAGTAAGCCTTCAATATATGGTAAATAATTTCTTTAGAGTTGATAATTTCTTTTTGATGAAACAGTATTCGTGTCACTGGGTAAGGAGAAATTGACATGCCTAGATTTCAAAGTTAAAGACCAACCTAATGTTAAATTTTCTAGTATGTCATCATCCGATACCACAAAGCCGCCTGAGCGAAACAGCTCTTGGTAGGTATCATTCAGAATGTCTTCAGGGGTGTCCACCCCGGCAAAAATGACACTGGGGAAATGCTTCAGCTTCAGCAGAGAAGGAATCTGTTAGACATAAAAGGACTTCCATGAAGAAAGACACATATAGGCATATTTAACATTCTCAAAGATTTCAAGGACCATGAGCAGCTGTAAATACTTCAGCCAGAATCACTAACTGACAATGCTGCCATACACGTAGAGCAGTTCTCACCTTATGAGTAGCCATTAGCTCATCAAAATTAATGAAAAGCAGCGCTATAGATAGTTCATTAAAGAACATGTCTGAATTTCAGGGTACCTATAAAGGGTTAATTCACACAAACTCATTCTGTTTCCAGCTCACCTAGTGGTGCCAATACCACCAAGCTCATGTCACTATCCTGTGTCCACAAGTCGCTTCTTGTGACAAGCAATTGTTTCTTATCAACTAGCCAATCTAAGTCCTTTTAAAGCATGATTTTCTTAATAGTCAGACATCAAGTAATAAAGATTTCTTCAAGTGAGAAAATTTAGCACTGGCTCACATTTTTTCATAGTTCTCCCTCAGTTAACATGACATCAACCTGCCCTACAGACACCTGGGTGATTCTAAATGAGTATGCCACACTGTACCTTCCCCCACTATCTTCCCAGTAAAGGTCCAATGGAAGTATGTGTCAGCTACTCCCCTACATAGAATGTACAGAATAGCAGCAATGAATCACAATACAGAACAATTTCAGTGCCTAGAATATATTTCTTTTTACTGTGAGATTCCAATCTTACTTGATGCAAATGTGATATTATGTCTTCATTTTTGATGATAACTAATAGTGTCTCAGTCTCTCTGTGAAAAGCTTGACAGAAATCCAGAAGTTCCGCTTCTGTATGGCCTCCTTTCTTTAGAATGCTCTGAAAGATTTACAAACAGCTATTACTAAAAAAGGATACTTGTACAGAACCTTTCTTTTTCTTTCTTTCTTTTTCTTTCTTTTGACACAAGATCTCTGTAAAACCCTGGCTGGAATGCCCTGAAATGCACTACATAGACCAAGTTGGCTTCAAATTCACAAAGATCCAGCTGCCTATGCTTCTCAAGTACTGGGATTAAAGGCATGTACCACCACGCCTACCAAGGTACAACTATTTTTATACTAAAAAGATGCCACCAGATAGGCCTGGTAGTGCATACAATCTTGGCACTTGGGAGATTGATGAAGGATCATTGTACCGCTACTTAGCTGCACATCTCAAATGAAGCAAACAAAAATATTTAACAACACATCTAAAAAGCAAATCCTATTTGTAAGGCAACATAGCTACTGGTTTTACTACTAAATAAACACATGCACATATTACTATAAACTGGATTTAAGCTTTATTTTTAGTTATAAAATTAGTGTGTATGTATATAAGTAGGTACACACACATGCCCTGGTCAAGGGATAACTTTCAGGATTTGGTTTTTTCCTATCATGTGGTCCTGGAAGGATCAAATTTAGGGTTGTCAGGCTTGGTGGCAGGTGCCTTCTCTTACTGGGCCATCTCTACAGCCCCCAAGAAGTTTATTTTGAAGATGAAGCAGTGTATGACTACAAAATACCAAAGGCTGATTTTAAAAAGTCTAAACTAATTTGCATAAATTAAGTTTCACTTTCAAGGGAGACAAGACAGGGTTGCTGGCTGTTTCTATAATGTCATATGTAGCTAGAACTTTAGCAACATACCAGTGCATTTCTTTATCACGAATGGGAACCAATCTGAAGAACTGTTCCTTGGCTATCCATATAACATAAACTGTATGTTGATAAGGAACTGCATGTTCTGACCTTCCCTCAGAGCACCTCCTTGTGCAGCTTCATTGGGAAGGTGAATGTGCATCACAGATTTTTCTAAATCCAATCTTTCTTATGACTCTTTGGTTTATGTCTGTTCCCCCCCCCCCAAAAGGTTTCTCTGTGTTGTGCTGGTTGTCCTGAAACTCACTCTGTAGACGAGGTTGGTCTTGGGCTCAGCTATCTGTCTGTCTCTGCTTCCCAAGTGTTGGGACTAAAGGTGTGTGCCACTACCGCTGGTCCCTTGTGACTCTTATGTGATCCTTCTTCATGAAGGATTATGGCTTGCTATTGCATACCCAATTATACTCCACTCAGAACATTTATTGTCTTTATAATGTATTACATTGTCTGCCTTGAATACCCAAACAGATGAACTTCTGACTATCCCACCAGCACTCAAAAGGACGGCATAATTTAAGAAGAAATTCTTTTAGGAAAGAATCAATTGAAATACTGAAGATTGAGCTGTCACTGTTTGCAGATCCTTCTCATCTTACAAACAGGTCTATATCCCATCACTAAAGAATAGTTCAGGGCTTGCCAGAATTATTCAGGATGTTTCCAAGGCTTAAAAAACATGTACTGTTTTTTGTTTTCTTTAGACAGGATCTCACTCTGTAACTTCACTGGCTTCAAACCGTTTGGGATTCACGCATCTCAGCCATCCAAGTGCTGGAATTACAGGTGCCAGCCACCACACCCAACAAACATTGTGCTCTTGAATGCACATTATGTTTATTTTAGTGTATGTTCAATTAGAAGTTGTAACCTTAGTACAAACATGCACTTTGTATTAAAAACAGTGGCCACATGGTAAAATACTGTCAATATTTTTTTTAATACACTCAATAAAGAAACAAGATGATGCCTATGAACAGTCATGAGACACTGTCTTAAGTGCTGGAAACTCATTCCAAGTCCTCTGTAAGAACGGTAGGTATTAACTGCTGGGCCACTTCTTCAATCCCTGCTATTTATTTTTAAGAATATTATGAGTCTTTCCAGTAACCGCAGGATGAAGTCTAAATATGGTATCTTTATAGTTGAGCCCCTTCCTAGGATGGCTCATAATGTCTCCCAACTCATCTCTTGGCAGTATACTTTATGCTCAGTAGTATTAATCAGGTCTTCCCCCTGCTTAGCTCTTGTTCCTTCTGATCCCTGTGTCCCATATATACCTTGTCTTTTGGCACCCCTCATGCTTTTATCTCTGCAACACTAAGCCCTTTGTATGATGTGTCTGAATTAGTACAAAAATTATTTTTCACAAAATGTTAAATGGTAGACATGCCTTCATTTTATAAGTTACCATTACCCATTTTCCTCTATTCTATACACCAATGAAAAAGACATTTTGGTGTGTTTTTATGTATGAACATGGGGGCCAGAATTGATATCAAGTGTCTACTATTGAGCTCCACCACTTTGATATAGGGGCTCTCACCAAAGCTAGAACTAACCTATTCAGCTAGAATGACTGAACAGCAAGTCCCAAGGATTTGCCAGTCTTTGTCTCCCCAGTGTTTAGATTACAGGCCACAAGTATTTTTTTTGTATGAGTGCTGTGCTCAGGCTTTCATGCTTGTATGGTCAGTACTTGACTAACTGAGCCATCTCCCCTACCCTGGAATATAATTTTTCTTTAAAAAAGAATGCTAAGAATGTGGTCATTGAAAATAGATGTAATCATAGTAAAAGCCTAACTTGGGGGAGGGCAGCATTTGTCTTGATTCACCATTAGCTTTTCATTTTTGTCCTCTTAGAATTTATGTTCCATCCGAGTAACTGATAACACCTGCCACGAAGTATACAAAAACTAAAGATTAAAAGCTAAATATCACATCCCATACCATCTTTTTAAGCATAAAATTTTATTACTATTAAACTAAAAATCAGAATATAACGAAATATAGAGTAAGCTGATACTTTACCTTTGTTCTTAGGAAGAATGACTTATCTTCTGTTTCAACGAGGTAGAACCTGAAAGGGCTCTTACAAGCCTCCCTCATAACTCCTTTTAGTTTGATATGCAGAGTGGCACACAAGTCCGTGATCACATCTTTGTAGGATACCGACTGTCTTGGCTGACATGTCTCCTGTGGACAAGCTTCTGCAGAAGCTACATCTAACTCTCTATCTTGGGAAACAGTTTGGTTGCTATTCATCATAACTTTATTAAATTCAGCATATTCATTTAGAATAAGTGAAATATCACTTCTAGCTTCTTTCAAAGTACTGTTGTATTTCAGTTTATTGAGATGTACTGGAATAATCTGATTTCTTTCAGGATTTCTACTTTGACTATGTTTCTCCTTCCAAAAAGAGGAACTGTCTAGATTGCTGGGTGAGTGTTCTCTTCTACGATGACTTTGTGGCCCGGTGTCTGAGTGTACAACTGTTACCAGGATGGGGCTTCTGCTCTTAGGTGGAAGATGCAGAAGTGAAGCATCAGATGTTTGTGTTGAAGGGCATGCTTCAACTGAGATTCGGATAAGTGACTCCTTAGGGAAGATGTTGGTGGAAAGGGAAGATTGCTGAGAATCCCCCTTCTTTAGTATTTGTTTTAGCTTATGATCAAAACGCAAGTACTCCAGGTCTAAAGTATTCTGCGTGAGGTCATCTGTCACATGCCAAGCGCTAGTCCAGGAGCTAAGGCTATTCCAATTTGCAGTGAAATTCCGATGCCTCTTCAGGCTATGCAATGTTCTTGTGGTATCTTTGGACTCTTTTGTTATAGTAAAGTTAGCATAAGTCCTGGAGATACCATTGGAATCTGGGATCTGGATGTAGCGTGGCATACACTTATCACTTGTTGAGATAGGACACGATTCTGTGTCCCAGCTTCTGGGTGGAACATGTGTCTCCAGCTCTGAAATTTTGCTGGAGTAGACCCAAGTGTCACTGTTGTTTAAGCCTGTGAAAGAATCACTACTATCTTTTATAGCATCTTCGTGGCTTGCATGACTACCTTCCAAAGTACACAAATTCTCTACATCTAATTTACAGTTTCTACAATCTAGAGAATCGGGGTCAGTATCTCCAGAAAGTGGTCCATAGCACGTGGAAGCATTCACACTTATCTCTGTATTCCTGCTCGATGCTTTAGAATCTGCCTTGGTTTTATGTCCCATATTAGGGTTTTCACTGACAGTATGTTCTTTGTAGATGTCACAAACAGAGTCAAGGGATTCTGGGACAAAGGAAGCAGAAGGCTCTTCACTGATACTTTTACTTATGTCTGCTGTATTTTGGTAAGAATGAACATTGTGGGAGAAAACTCCATCATTCAAGGGCTTTTTTTCTTCACATTTTGATGTGTCCTGCATCACATGGATTGCTTTTTGTTCACCTTTTGTAGATGTGGAATGAGAGTGAAGGCCAACAGCACTGAGATCCATCATTTCTTCATGTAATTCAGTTCCAATATTTTGAAGTAAACTGGCCATTCTAACTACTGGTATTTCCTGTGTTTGAAACCCTGGCTCTACACTTACTGGTTTTGTGTAATAGGTGCACTGAGCCCTGTCACAGGAAGAAACAAACTCTGAGATTTCTGGGTGGATGTATGGCTGTACAACATCAGTTTTGTCAATGGAGGCAGAGTTCACAGACCCAGGCTGCATATTCGTATCAGCCTCTGGTTTTAAATCACTGTCAGAGCTATTTTTCTCACTGTTTTTAGAGCCAGTCTGCTTTAATGACATATTCACTATTTCACTTACACTGGAGATGGAAACCAATGTGTCTGCCAAAGACTTATTTTCAACAATTTTTCTAGTACTACATAAGGGTACACTGGACTCCAAGGCAAAAGGCTTTATGCCCAGATTTCTGTTCTCCATACAAATTGCCTGCAATGATTTCCCTGATTTTAAGAGTTTTTCAAGAGGCTTGAAGTTACCTCCATATTTAGGGGGTGAGGTAGGCTTGTTTAATTCTGTATCATGGCACTGTACCTTCTCTGAAAAAGAGAAACTCTCATTCTGCTCATTTGGGACACTGAACTCAGCTACTTCACCAGGTACAGTTACTCTGCCTTCTATTCCTGCACTGGTTAGTACCCATGGCATTTCTGCAGAGAGCTGCACTTGTACTTGAGTTAACTTATCTTGTCCCATTGAAATTTTAGGACCAACAAAAGAATTTTCTTTTCCTGCTTTAGTTAAATCTCCTGACTTAATCTGGGAGAACTCGCTACTTTTCTCAGACTGTGTACCATGAAGTTTTAAGCATGGAATGGGTTGTGTTTCTTCAGTTTGTAGTATGGGATCAGGACTAGAAGCTGGTGATACTTCTTCTATTAGAGGACCAAAGGGAAAGTCTGAGGTAACATTAATTTCCTCTGTCACCTTAGGGGCACAATTTTCTTTAGAAAGTATTAATGTACCTGGCTTTAAATCATTGCTTTGTGTCTCTTTTAATGGTTCTCTGGGTTCCACAGCATACACTGAGATATAGCTAGCTGAATTTATTGTTTTGTTTTTTATGAGGACCTGTACTTCTGGTCCAACCTCTTCTTCAGTTCTACTCTGCAATCCTAAATTTGACACTGGGGTCTTCTGCAATTGTTCAATTTCACCAGCTGCCATTTCCTCCCTGGGGCTTGTAGGTGGTAATGCCGTTAAAGCTGGGTTAGTATCAGAATAGTGCCCTGACAACTCCTCCCTATTCATAGATAGATCAGCTTGTTTGGGAAATACTGAATTAAGTATTTGCAAAGTCTTTTCTTGCTTTTGACTACTCTTGTCATTAATCCATACTTCTGAGGGGCCATCTGATATATTTCTTATTGCTGGAATACAGTTAAGGGACAGTTTGTTTCCCAGGGTAGCAGAGGTTGATGATACTACTTTAACTTGTGATGGTTCTAGAACCTCATTTATAGACATGCTGAAACCATTCTGAGTCTGTAGAGAAGCATCTTGTGGGCATTTTGTTTTGTTACTGGCTAATGAATAGCTAGAACTTTTAACTAACGGCAGGGCCTCCGTTATCAATCCATCAGCTGATGTTGGAGGAGGAATCTCTTTTTGTAATGGACACAGGCTTTCAGGAGCTGTTTCCATTTCTAGGGAGGAGGCAGAAAGGCACTTTCTCTCTCTATACTCTGAAATGGCAAGAGAATGAATGTCCCTAGGGCACTGTGTTTGTGCCTCTTCCAATTTAGACACAGGATACTGAATATTCAAGGCAGGAGACACTTGTTTAACCAGCTCAGTATTAAAGCCTGTAGGTTTGTCGGCTGTATTTACTTCTGTACATACAGAAGTATGTATTGGTACACAAGCAGCTTTTTCAAGAGCAAGAGTAACCGGCTCCTGATTAATCATCATATATTCCGCATTACCATCTGTCCTTTCTACAGAAGGTGGACATTTGTTATTGATGGGGCTGCTATACTGGATAGCATCCTGTACAGCACCTGCTTTTATCAGCAGCGATGGATGAAAAGTATCAACTTTGTTCTCAAGGGTGCTCAACAAAGACTTGTGACACATCATTGCCTCACTGCCGGCCCCATCATAGGCTGTTGTCAAGGTGGCTTGTGTGACAGAGTTATTACAAGAAACCATCTTTGTGCTCGGGAAGGTCTTATCTTCACTGGGAATACAAGATCCATTCCTTTGGGCACTTGCGACATCAGAGAGCCCAACATTAGAAGTCTCGGGTATATCTGATAATTCTTGTTTGTCTTTACCTCCAGTTACCTGAAATGACAAAAGATTAAAAAAAGTAATTTCAAAAAAAAGATAAACAGATTAAGAAAAATTAATTATGAAAAAAGGCACAGGATAATTGTACCGTTTTTTGAATTCTCTTAATCTATAAGCAATTATCATACAGTAGAGAAAAACAACCCCACCAAATGTTTTCCTTTTTTGTGGTGCAAAGTATTGAACTTAGGCCCTTGTTTACAGTAAGTGAGTATTCTTCTTAGTTAAACCCTCAGTTCACTGTTTTTTCTACTTTAAAAATATTCACAGATGCCAGGCGGTGGCGGCACACACCTTTAATCCCAGCACTCAGGAGGCAGAGACAGCTTGGTCTACAGAGCGAGTTCCGGAACAGCTAGGGCTGTTACACAGAGAAACCCTGTCCCAAAACAAAAACAGAAAACCAACAACAACAAAAAACCCTAAATAAAAAAATCACAGATGAGGTGCAGGTGGTGGCACACCCCTATTAATTCCAATACTCAGAAGGTTGAATCAGGAAAATAATAAGTTCAAGGTCCCGGCTATAAAGTTAAGACCTGTCTCAAAAAAGCAAACATTCAAAAAGAAAGAAAAAATAAAAACAGGTATCACAGACAGAGTTCCATACTTTATTAATTGACCAGTTTACTAGATCTTAAATGTGTGAGGTGTTGATAGGCAGAGGCAGGCAGATCTCTGAGTCGTAGGCCAGCCAGGGCCACATAGACCTGGACTCACAGAGACACCACCACCACACACACACACACACACCCTACTCCCAAATTTAAATGTCTCATTTATCAATACAGAAATGGAGCACTGGAGAAATAACAGCACTTAATTTTGCTGTTAATGAAATTAAATAACTTTTAAGGACAAAAATAACCTTTTATTCTTAAACAGCAATTTCCAATTACACTATACAAACACTGACATCTGGAATTTTTCCATGAGACAGTAATAATTACATCCCATGAACTCTGAATAACTGATTTTGTTAGTAAGAGTCCTTCCTCAATCCTTAACTACTTCTTTGTGTAAAGCTGGAGACAACTATTCTTCATTTTATTGCCTCTTATTCTACAAAGCAATAGAAAATTTGTCAATGACTTTTCATTCATATAATAAAAGGACTGAGTTAAACAGTATTAAATAGAATTTAGATAAACTATCAACAGGACAATTTTGATGAATTCCTAAGGTGGTTGTTTTGTTAAGTCTCCACATAATCTTGTCTAAATTTGTTGAAAAAAAAATCGATACAATTTACCACATGTGGCAATGTTTGGAGCACTATGCTCATAGACTGCTATATCTACAGGCATATGGTCTAAGTGAAGACTTAACTCATTAAAATCTTTCTGTTCCAACCAAATAGATATTACCTTTAGTTGTCAGGGTAGGGAACAACAAGATGTCAGTTTTAAAAGGACAACGAGAAAGAAAATTCTTTCTTTTCTTTCTTTCTTCACTTAGACCATAGAGTTTTCTGTTAACAGCCCTGGCTCTCCTGAAACTCTCTCTGTAGGCCAGGTTGGCCTGGAACTCAACAGAAATCCGTGTGCCTCTGCTTCCCGTGTGCTGGGATTAAAGATATGTGCCACCACCATCCGGCTAAAGAAAAGTTTTGATGAGAAGAAACCTGAGAATTTTCCTGCAGTCTTCCTAGTAATACCATGCCTGCAATATCCAACCAAAATTCTAAAACACTCTATGACTCTTAGTGAAATGCTAATTGTGACAATCTCGGTATATTTATACTTAAGATATATAATTATATATACTTAAGATTTAATTAAAGGTACAATGGGATATTTCTAAAAATTGTCTATTTAAAAATTGGTCAAATACACCTGTGATCACAAACAACATACTATTGGCCTCTAGTCTTTTGTGCTAAAATATTGTTCACACTCCATGTGTCACTTGTGGAACAAGGGGATGTCATAGCACAGTCACATGCTTTTAGGTGCAGGCACACTACTCAATCCCCAGCCCCCCCCCCCCACTCCTCAATTACTCTTAGGACGATAAGCTAGAACATCTGAAAATCTGAAACCCACATTTTTTGATATCTAAAGCTTTTACTTGGTGACATGATACTTAAGCTTTGAATAGACTACTTCAATGAGTTTTAAGACAGTGATGTTCCAGAAGCAAAATTCTAAATTCGTAAGTTTTCTCATATCTCAATTTCTGGTCCTAAAATTTTTGAATGAGAAATATTTAACCAGTATATACTATAAATATTAATTAAAATCATTCACTGTAATTATTTTTTTCCTCCAACTAGCAAATTTAATGAACGATATGAATAGGTTCTGAATTTATTTCACATAAACATTTAGTACAATTTTACTCAATGCTTAACCTTTAGAAAATATATACTTTTTTTTTATGTATAATGTCCCCTCCCCCTTTTTTGAGACAGGATCTTATGTAGCTGAGGCTGGCCTTGAACTCCTGATTCTATTGTCTTTACATCTCAAGTGCAGGGATTACAGGCTTGTGTCATGCCTGGATTACACTTCATTTTTTTTAAACAAATAAAAAAAAAGTATTTATTACTATTCCATGTGTGTGTTCACACTCATGCAGAGTATGGCAAAGTTTATGTATGGAGGTCAGAAGATAACTTTACAAGTTGGTTCTCCTTCCATTGAGAGTTCCAGGATCAAACTTAGGTCATTAGGCTTGCATGACTTTTTTATTGGTGAGCCATCTTACCAAGCCAGATTCAGCCTTCTATATATCCTATTTCACGTTTGTTAAAAACCATTCCTCACTGGGTATGGTGGTACATCCCTTTAATCCTAGCACTTGGAGGCAGAGGCAAGTCGATCTATGTGAGTTCGAGGCCAGCCTGGTCTACAAGAGCTAGTTCCAGGATAGCCAAGGCTGCACTGAGAAACCCTCTTTCAGAAAAAAGAAAAAAAAAGAAAAGAAAAAAAAATGAATGAGAGAAAGAAACTAGTATGGACTTAGGTAGTAACTGAAGTCTGCCTTGCTAAGTATTTTCTTCGAGTTGCTCTTAACTGAATTTTATTTATATCCTTAAGAATAGGTGAAAATTTCTGAACCTCATTTTTAGAAAAAAAAATATCACTATGCACAAAATACTCGTCTGGATTTGTGTACACAACTACATCCACAGAATATGATGCAGAAACAACTAGACTATTTGGAAATGAATCTTGGCTTTGCGATTTACAATGTGACTTCAGACAACTGACTTGGTCTCAGTTTCCTCATCATAGTTTGCTTGCTTTGTTTCAGAATTAACTGAGTTGTTATGAGGGAAGCACTTGGAACACATTTGGCATACAATGCTAATGGCAGACATGTTAAATTTGCTAATAATGGTCACCTGAAGATACTCACCTTCCTTGGGTCATTCTTGGCCCCACTGACCTCTGCTGTAGGAAGTCCTACAAGCCAGTAGTTACTGGCCCACTGGGTCGTGGCCTCTTATACTATTTATGATGATGTAGAGCATGCATCCAAGCCTCTTTTCCAGTTGCAGGATTCGGTGTCTGATCTCCGTTCCAGCAGAGGATTCTGATTTGTGAGTCTATCCCCAAATAAATAACCGTCTATTTCTCAATTCTGAGCTAGTGTGGGATTTCTTTTAAGTGTCCTTATTCATACCTCATGTTCAGCAACACAGTCTACCCAATGTAGGGAAAAGTACCAGAAGATGTTCACATTTTGTCACAAGTTTCTAGACTAAATCTGGGCCATGAGCTTTAGAAGGTTTTTGTTACCACTTTAGCATTTATTCTATATAAAATGTAGATTACTTGGCCTGGCTGAAAAAGAGTAAAACAAAGTATGCCTTCCAAACTTAGAAATAGATACTCACAGATCCTTAGTATCTAGGTAAGCCATACCCAGTTAGTTATTTGTGTGTGCTCCTGTGGTGTATATGTAAGTCAGAACTTAGTTATTTGTGTGTGCTTTGACTTTGGTTGTTCTTCAGGTATCACTCACCTTATATTTTCTCTCGTTGGCTTGGAGCATGCTGAATATGTTAGGGTCAACAAGCTCCAGGGATTAATCTGTGCCCATTCCCCTAGTGCCAGGATTACAGATATGCACCGCCATACCTACCTTATACACGGATGCTCCAGATTCGGACTCAATCCATATGGTTGCACAGCAAACAATTTATCCATGAAGCTATCTCCCTAGTCCTTATAGCTAGTTATTTTAAAACAAGTTCAGAACAAATACTTTGCCCCAAATTATAATATTAATAAATGACTATCAAGCTGGGAGTCCCACATATTTAATTCCTGTATCTTGTTCAATGAAGATGGTAGACAAACCTACCTATAGACAATACAGAGGAACACTTTATGAAAATTTTGTTTGGAAAATTAAAATCCTTTACATAGCTGGAAGATTCATTTTTTCTTTTGAATATGTCCACAAATAAAATGAAAAGGTACAAAAAAAAAAAAACCCCAAAAAGAAAAACAACCCAGCATTTATAATAGTACCTCACCTCATTATTACAAGAATGGATAAAATTCTGGCTTCCTGAAGTATCCAGGTGACACTCTGCTGTAAATATTTCTTTCTGTTCATTCTGTACACAGAGTTCCAAGTCTCTGGTGGTTGGTGGATTAATGAAAGGAAGTACACAGTTAGGTCCAGGAAAGGTCGTACTGGTGGTATGACTTTCACACGCTTCTTTGTTCTCCAACAGAGGGTCTTCAGAATATCGTTCCACACTGGGAAACTCCTCAATTTCACTTTGGTCAAAAGATTCTATAGACCTATTTATGCATACATATTTTGCTGGGTTTCTGTGTTCTACCACCTTTCGAGGTGATCCCATGACTTTGTTCTGTTTGCTGTAGAACAGGGCTACCCACATATGAAGTAAAAGCTTCACATCTTCCATATTTTCAGGCCAATCAGTGTTCCAGGGTCTATGATGTTAAAGAACACACAAAAAATAATTGAAATATTATTTTTACTTAATTATCATAAGTTCCTCTATCAATAATAATTTGTGTTTACTTATAAATATTACAAATGTGGTACAGTACAAGTTAATTTAACAAATGATTATGAAGTGTTTTAAAGAGAAGTAAACCAACAATCAGAACATTAAGTGACTTATTTCAAATCACAAAACTTACATGGAAGAACAGTTGAGTCTACTGATTTCTGGCCCAACACTTGTCTTTCATACCACACAAACTCACTCTGGAGACAGTTTTTTTATTGTGAGATTAATGTTCTAGCAACCTCTCAAATTCTTATCACTTTAGTTTGGCTGAAGATTGTTAATTAATTTAGTTTTCTTTCTTTATTTCTTTTTTGAGACAGGATTTCTCTGTGCAACAGTCCTGACTATATTGGAAGTAGCTTTGTAATTAGCTTTCATTTTTATTCCTTTTAATAGTTGGAAAAGTATGATGATTAGAATATTCTCTGGGCTTGCTGGTGGGAGTGCAAACTGATACAGCCACTTTGGTTATCAGTGTGGCGATTTCTCAGAAAATTAGGAAACAACCTTCCTCAAGACCCAGCAAAACCACTTTGGGTATATACCAATTGTACCACAAGGACATGTGCTCAACTATGTTCAAAGCAGCATTGTTTGCCACAGTCAGAACCTGGAAACAACCTTAATGCCCCTTGACTGAAGAATGGATAAGGAAAATGTGGTACATTTACACAATAGAGTATTACACGGAAGAAAAAAATAATGTTATATTGAAATTTGCGGGTGAATGGGTGAATCTAGAAAACATCATATTGAGTGAGGTAATTAAGAAAGACAAATATCATATGTACTCACTCATAAGTGGCTTTTAGACATAAAGCAAAAACAAACAAAAAACCCCGAAAAAACAACAAAACAAACAAAAAATACCAGCCTACAATTCACAACCCCAGAGAACCTAGACAACAAAGAGGACCGTAAGAGAGACATACATGGATATAATCTACATGGGAAGTAGGAAAAAAAGATCTGAGTAAATTGGGAACATGAGGACCTTGGGAGAGGGTACAATGGGAGGGAAGTAAGAGGGAAGGTAAAAGCGAAAATATATAGCTCATATAAATTTTTTAAAAATTAAATAGAAAAATAATACTAAAAAAGGAATATTCTTGGTAATATTGCAAAAACTATACTATTTTCAGGTTACAGTTCTAGATAGACACAAAACAGTTCTGTCCTTTGGCAAAAAGACGTCAGACAGCTGACATGGGCTAAATTAGAGTTAGGCTACAGTTGTCATACTGGAGTCAGACTAATTAGGACGTTAACTATCTCTATGTATGTGAATCCATGCAAGGAAAGAAATCTGGTAATGTGGAATGCCATTTAGTAAATATGAAATGGTTCACAAATAGTTGAATGTCATTCCATGGTGTTAATTCTTCTTGTAAACAATAATGGCTACCATTTATTACAGTGAACCAGTTATTGTGTAAAAAATAATATATTAATGACCCTCAGAATGTCGCTTCTGTTAAACCTGTACTTAAAAACGCTACTCTCTAGACTGTAATCTGCCACTGACACCTGAAATTTTTTAAGAGATGTAGACCCCAGAATGTACCAGAATCTGCAGCTCGACGAAATTCCTAAGTGAGCTGTATCTACACAATAAACTTGAGAATCACTGCCTAGAAGTACATACTTATTCCAGGTCACAAGAGGCTTAACTAGGAAAGCCATTAGTTTAAGCTCCAAAACCCTGTAGTGCTAATAATTCTGTTGCTATTGCCAGGATTCCTTTTGTTGTTATTGTTTTTTCTTTACTAATTTACTTTTATTTCATTTGCATTGATATTTTGACTGCATGTATGTCTGTGTGAGGATGTCAAATCTTTAAGTTAAACAGTTGTTACCTGCCATGTGGGTGCTCTGCTCCAAGTTCTCTGGAAGAGCAATCAGTGCTCTTAACTGCTGAGCCATCTCTCCAGGCCCCTTGTTTTGTTTTTTTTGAGACAGGGTTTCTCTTTGTAGCCCTGGCTGTCCTGAAACTCTATCTGTGAACTAGGCTGGCTTCAAACTCACCTGTCTCTGCCTCCTGGGTGCTGGGAATAAAGGTGTGCACCACCACCACCCAGTTCCATCAATCCAAGGAAGACTTACAAAATCACTCATTGGTCACTCAGATCAATTTGATGAACAAGTAAATGAAAATCCATTCATAAGACTCATTTATCTTTACAAGTTCTCCACGTGATCATCAACAATGGCAAAATCTGTCACTTTCAACTCTCAGTAAACACACACTTGATATTATATTATTATTATATTATGGCTTTATAACTTTTTCTTCTTCCCCAAGTCTTCCATCTTACCACACAGATCTTGACAAAGAGATGTACCCTTCCTACTTACCCATGTAATGCTCTCACAACAGTTTTCTCCAGAGGGTTGCTGGTGTATCTGCTATCTAAACTGAATGCATATTCTCCTTCACATTTGAAAGTGATCTTAAAGGAGCCATCACAACTAAGAACCGTATGAGAGCAAAAAAAATCTTTAAGACTGGAAGACACAAACAGACTTTTGCGCTTAGTCAATGAATCTTCAGAAAGCTTTTGTAGAGGAGAGGTGTTCTGTAGATGCCGAAATGGCATGACCTTTCCTATAGGAGTTCCAGCTTCGGGGCCTTTTGCCCCATTCTTTGCAAAAGCAGGGCTTGGTAACTTTCTCTGATGCAGATGTTTCTTTGACTGCTCAGCAAGAAGCAAGGCATAGGAATGTTCCACAGCAACCGAGTTTTGACTTGCATCTGAGGATTCTTGGACTTCCTCAGGGGGTACTGACTGGGTAATAGCAAGAAGCTGAGCAAAAGGTACCAAGTTTTCTTCTTGGCTAACAGGTAAGTCTGACTCTGAATTAAGCTTCTCATCAGAAGATGGTTTAGGTAGTAGCACACCTTTTTGACTTTTAACTCCCCTATGATATTCATGATCAGAGGTACTGTGCAATGAATTTTCTTTAGAGAGTAAAACATTATTTTGTGGCAATTCAGAGACACTGGGAAGGTTCCTAAGCTCACAAGGTGGTGTGGAAGAAGCGGCAGAGCTTAATGCCAGATCAGCTAACATATTTAAAGCCTGAGAGTCACAGTTGATAATTGAGTTTTCAGGAAAATGTTTAGGAATCATTGCAATACTTTCTTGTTGAGCAGTACTTAGGTTAATTCCATCTTTCTGACCATTTGATGAAATTTCTGATTGAAGATGTAAAGTAATGTCTTTTTCGGCTTCATAATAAAAAACAAAAAGAACAGATATAATATTTGTTTTTCTTAGAATATCTTACACATTCCTACACTTAAGTGAAAACTAACAGTCAATATAAAAGACTTACGAAAAGAGGGTAGGGAAAACAAAAATCCAGAGTCCTGCCTTTAGCATGCTTACATTCTAGCTAAAATGTAATTTAGAAATGCAAAGTATTATGCAGTTTGCTAACACACTTCTAAGAACCCATTTTCCAAGAAGCAATTAAGTTCAAAATATAGATGTTTAGTTTTATAATGATATGCATAAAACATTATTTTGTTGTTGTTGTTTCTGAGACAGAGTTTCTCTGTTTAACAGCTCTAGCTGCCCTGGAACTAGCTCTTGTAGACCACTCTGGCCTTGAACTCATAGAGGTCTACCCACCTCTGCCTCCTAAGTGCTGGGATTAAAGACGTGTGCCACCCCCACCCGGCACATAAAACATTATATAAAAGTGGTGAATATTCAACTATCATCAATTAATTTTCAATTTAATTAATTTTATACTAAAAATTTTACTTTTAGCAATAAAAGCACTATTACCTGCAAAGGAGGCAATCTCCTAGCAATTTTCTTTCTGTAATAATGGAATGCAATCATTTTCCCTTATCAGAAAAATTACATTTTCTAGTGGTTTGCAAGGCATTCTCACTAATCTTTCTTAAATGCTGCTATTATAAAAAATAAAATTCACAACTACACTATATAACAATTCCCTTTGCAGATAAATGGATACAGAAGAGCCAGATGGATGCTGGATCAATCAGAGGATGTCTGAAATGAATCAATAACTGCTTGCAAAAGGCTAGTTCATAAATTTAACTCACTCATACATTTAAGGAGAGAAAAATTCTGGCCTATGATGTATCATTTGGAATGAGAAGGGTACTGGAAGGAAAAAAATTAATGGAACACAGCTTAGATGTTTAACATAGCAAAACCTAAAGAGAGTCAAGACAGAAAAGGGTCCAAAGTAGATAATTTTCTTGTTGGCCTGAGACACACTGGAAACATTGAATTTATTTTATGACCTGGTGCTCTGTGACACTGATTTTTCTCTACTTTTGTTAACATTAGTTTACATATACTCATCTATTTCTTATACCGAGTACCACTTTTAAGTTATGGCTACTATGATAATGACTACTAATGACAAGAAAAGTAGTGTTAAGTATAATTTAATTAAAAAATTACTGAGTTCTTACTGATTCTCAATCAATTAAAATATAATAATGGGGGTGGTAGATAAATAAAATGTAAAAACAACCAAGTCTTTCCCATTTGGAAGAAAAAAACACATCATATAAAGAAGATTAAAATTAAGAAGAAAAATAGGCCTAAGGGTAGAGTATTGTATGTTTGGTTGTATTAAGGTTAAGGTTGAGGTGACTTATAATTCTGATCAAGAATTAATGTCCAAGAGGTGAAAATATAAGAATAACAGACAGCTTTTAATTTATGTATATAAGTTTTATCAAAAGTAAAGTATCTTAAAATTAAATCACCTTTTAAAGCAAACACACTTTTGGTTACTACTTGTAATTATTTTTAAAAACTCTTACAGCCTTTTCTAAATGATTACAGTTCAGACAAACACTAACAGATACTACCTGCAAGAATATTTAGTCATAAAGGAGGATTGTTTATACTTTAATAAAATGTTTGTTCAGGCTTTAAAATTAAAGTAGAAACTACTGTTTGAATCTTACAGGTTTTCTAAGTCATTTAAAGAAAATCATATGTACTTTGCTCAAAACTGCCAATAATCTAAAATAATGTATTAGGTTTAAAAAGAAGCAATTTAAGTTATTTTACTTCTCTATCTTTGAAGTACATAGCATAATTAAGAAACCAGGGGCTATGTATGGCTCAGGGATACACAGTACTGTTGCTCTGGCAGAAAATCTGGGTTCAGTTCCTAGCACCCACACATTTTTAACTCCAGTTCCAGGGGACCAGACCCCTTCTTCTGGCCTCCGTGAGCACTGGATGCACATGGTGTACAGACATAAATGCACGCAACACACTTTACACATAAAACTTACCTAAACTTAAGAAAGAAGAAACCATATCATTTTCATTCATGTCTGAACTAAAGGCTATAGTGTTATTGATATGTTTCAATTGCTGTTATATATTGCAATATATTTTCTTACAATCTGTTAGACATTTATTTTAGTGTTCATAATTACAGGAAGAGGGTTTCTTACCAGGATGCAGCTGCTTTCTGGTTTTGGAATTCCGACGACCTCTTGTTACATTTACCTTTTGTTTTGGGGGACATTTTTTCACAGGTGGTTTAGGCCGGGAAACAACTCTACCTGGAGATTTCTCTTGTTTCTTTGCTCTTTTAGCATTTGTAGCTACTGGAGCATCTTTAGACATAGAAACGTCACGCTTTTTCCTATCCAGTCTGGTTTTCTGTACAAATTGTGCAGTCAGCACTTCTGCACCTTATGCAGGAAAAACAAGACTGTTTTAAGGATGTGTGTGTTACCCAGAAATTTAGCAGCATAACCTGTTCTTTATTTTATTTTGGGGTTAGGAGCTAACTAATATTAGAAAATACATTAGAGCTTAAAGTACTGTCCCAAGGGAAGACTGACTGAGACAAAGAGCACTGTGGATCGGTCAGTGCTGAGCTAAAGGAATAAAGGTTCTGGAAAAAAAAAAAAAAAAAAAAGAAAATACATTAGAAAGTTCTGGCTATCAGTAAAAGATTTCAAAATTAAAGCAAAATGCAAGAAAATGACTAGTGGTTAAATTACAAGGGTCAAGCTTAACATTCAGATCTTGGCAATCAGCATATTTTATGCTTCTTAGACAACATTTCCAAGTTAAAAACAAAAAACAAGACCAGCTGCTTGTTGTCAAAATGGGTAAGTTCATGAAACCCAGGAACGTGGTACTGGTCCTGGCTGGATGCTACTCTGGATACAAAGCCATCACTGTGATGAATATTGATAAGGGCACCTCAGACTGCCCTTACAGCCATGCCCTGGTGACTAGAATTGACCTTATCCCCCAAAAGTGACAGCTGCCACAAGCAAGAAGAAAATCGCCAAGAGATCAAAGATCACGTCCTTTGTGAAGGTTTGTAAGTACCACAGCCTCATGCCCACAGGTCCTCTGTGGACATCCCCTTGGACAAAACTGTTGTCAACAAGGATCTCTTTAGAGATCCAGCCCTGAAACATAAGGTCAGGCCCTAAGCAAAGGGATCAACACACTATATAACCAAGGTTTCTTCTATTTATTCATACATCGATCATCTCTGGCTCTGTCACTTTATATAGGTAGAGTTGGAAAATTAGGGCAGAGATCATATATGGCCTTCAAAGCTGAAAGTATATACTTTCTGGTTCTTCGTGGGAAATGTTTGCAAATCTTTTCTTTTAATGATGGGAAAAATATATACTTAAAAGCGAAGCTTCTGAAAAAATCATTTGTTCTTTCCTCTCTTGTATCCTTCCTCAAACTTGACCTTGGCCTCCCACCTGACCAGAAAGTATATATCTTACATAAATCACTGTCTTAGTTTTTATATATGTACGTATCACTCAGAAAAAAATGGCTTTTCTAACAAACCATTAAGCTCTAGGTCACATGAATCCAGTCAAATAACAGGGTTTGAGGTGAAGCATAACTACAATAATCACATATATAATTCTTACCTCTTTTTATCTTCTGAGGAAACTGCCCTTTAACTAACTTAAGAGTTGGGATGCATGATCCGCTGTCTGCCCTGGGCGCAGTTCTTTTGGAAAGGGGGCGACCCAGGTTCACTCGTTTATTTGGAAGCGTAACAACTGATGTGCTGGCCTTTCTCTTTGGCTGAACTCTCAGATTTGAAGGTGGAGTCAATGGAGCCACAGCTCTCTTCTTCACTCTAAGCATCTTTCCAGATTTTTTTGTTGTTTCAGTTTCTTTTCTTACTTCCATCTCTGAGTCAAGAAATTCAGGATTTGGAGCCATAACTAAAGAAAACCCAGCATCACAAATTCCATCTGAAATACGAGGACACTGAGGATGCTCTGTTAACAAGTCTAAAGCAGTAGACAGATCCAGAGTATAGCCACTAGGGTCTGAAAAATAATTCTTCAACTGAATCAGAGACTCTGAAGGGCACTTTTCATCTGGGGGTGCCAAGTCAAAACTATAGGACAGTTTCCTAATGAAGGCAGTGTCTCTCACTCCATCTCGAGGAGCCATCAATGACAGGCTTTTGTCCACCTTGTATAGATCTTGGAAACTATGCTTTACTAAGACATTTGGAGGGATTCCTTTTTCAGGAAGTGATTTCTTTGCTTCTAGAAGTGCACAACTAAGGGCAGGTATAATAGGTATCACTTTCAGAGAGATGTCATCTTCAACTTTTAAGTTCTTTGCCCCTAAAACACATATACACATACATTAAGAATTTGACACTGTTTCAGACAAACAGGAAAAATATTAGATTTCAAAATTATTACCAGGTTAAATATGCTACAGTACTGCAAATAAAAACTAAAGTGGCAACTAGTAAAAGCTTAGTGAGTAAATTTAGCAAATATGTATCTCCATATACTTCTATCTCTCACACACACATACACTGAAAAAGAATGATTTGATATGTGAATACTATGTTACAATGAGTAAAAACTCTACCTTCAATTCCACCTCACCTACAGGGTGTTTAGAGAGCCCACTGGACCTTATAGCAGCAATATTACTACCCTAAGGACAAGCAGCCTGCTTTTAGCTATACTTACACTCTTCTGAGAAGCTGCAAACAGAACAGAGGCCTTAAGCCTCAAATGTAACTGAACTAACAGCTGCTATTTTGCCTTCTCTATGAAATTATATTTTACGCATATTTTAAAAATTAACTGTATTGTCTAATCTGTATTGTGCCTCATCCTCCTGGCCCACTCTCTGATTAATTTTGCTTTTTTTTTTATTTTTAAAACAAATCAATAACCTCACAAATGAGAAAAAAGGAGAATGTCAGATTTCTACCTAACAAAATCCTAAAAACATCTGTTACCAGTACTATAAATCTACAGAAACAACTTCAGGAGTGCCTACTAAATGGAAACAGGAATTATGACATTAAAAAGAAGTATCTGTAGAATTATGAAATACCAAAATCATCTTAGGTAAATACATTAACACTGTAGCAAATATTAAAAAAGGCAAAAAGGGCAAATAAAAGAAAATGTAGTTAAGTATTAAAATAAAATTTCTTTCTTCAAAGCTCAGTATTCAGAGTACTAAAAGGAAGAAGAAGAAAATATAGAAAAGATCTGTATGTATTACTAAAGATGGTTTCATGAAAAAGAAACATTCCCTAGGCAACTTCACTATTTCCAAAATTGACTTAGAAAGGCAGAAGTCGCCAGGGAGTGGTAATGCACTCTTTAATCCCAGCACTTGAAGCAGAGGTAAGAGAATCTCTATGAGTTCAAGGCCAAATTGGTCTACAAAGTGAGTTCCAGGAAAGCCAGCGCTGGTACAGAGAAACACTGTCTCAAAAAGAAAAGTAAGAGTTAATCGCTTTGTAGTAGACTTACCAGAAAACCTATGAAAATTAAGTTGGCTAAGCAAAATTTCAACTTAAAAAAAGTAGCTAAAGCTCCGAATAAGACTAAGAACTGTCTCAATGAGGAAGATATGAAAAATCCAACACTGTTTTATTCATTCACACAGCATTCCTGTACTTTTTCTGGGTTCAAGTAAGAGTTATCAGACTGGCAGTTTATAGTTATCAAATTGGCAGTTTATAATTAAAGAAGAAAAATGAGGGCTGGGATGTGGCTCAGCAGCACAGGGTTCAATAAGCATGATGAGGCCTTGAATTCAAATCTCCACCAGAAAGGAAAGGAAGTGGGGGAAAGGGAAGTGAGAGACAAAAAGTGAAGAATTTAACCATAAATCTTTTATTTTTTAAGGTTATTGTACTTTTTGTGCATGTGACTTACACATGTATCTGCAAATGCTGGTACTGAACCCCTTAAAGATAGGGCTACAGGTTGAACCACCTAAGGTAGGTGTTGGGAACCAAACCTGGGTCCTCTAAAAGAACAGCAAGTGTTCTTAACTACAGAACCATCTCTACAGCTCCAAAATAAAAAAAAAAATTAACAGAAAAAAGGTAACACAGTATGGTAGTTGAGAGACAGCCCTGGAATCAGGTTGATTTAGGGCAAATCTGTCTGTTTCTTCATCTTTAAAACGGTTATAAAAATACTTACTTTAAGGATTGCAAAATCAATTATACCTAGAAAAAATACATAACACAATAAATGTGAATATCCTTTGTCAATCTGTTTGTATAACTGGTTGTTTTATTTGTTCCAAAATATCAAAAAGTACTGCGCTGTTTCTTCTTTGACCACCTGTGTATATATACTTAAAAATCAACTTTAAGGGGCTGTAGAGATGGCTCAATTAAGAGCAGTGGTCACTCTTCCAAAGGACTTAAGTTCAGTTCAAGTAAACACAGAGGCTCAAAACCACTCGAAACTCCAGTTTCTGGGGACCCAATGCCCTCTTCTAACCTTCAAGGTCACTGCACACATGTGGTACACATACATACATGTAGGCAAAATACTCATAAACATAAAGTACAATCATTTTATTTTATTTTTTTCCAAGACAGGGTCCTGGCTATCTTGGAACTCACACTGTAGACCAGGCTGGCCTTGAACTCACAGAGATTCACCTCTCTCTGCCTCCCAAGTGCTGGAATTAAAGACCTACCCCACCACCATCGGTCTAATAATTTTTTAAGAACATTTTTATATTGACTATAAATTTAGAAATCTAGCATTATCCTGTTACATTTTTTAAAAACACTTATTTCTTTAGATGCTTGACACACATATGCTCTGAAGATACAGAATAAAACCAAGTAGACATTATGTAGCTCAGTGGTAAACTGCACGCTCAGAATCCCAGCATCGTGAACCAAAAACCAAACAAAGCGCATTAATGTATTTGTATGATAAGCACAGCCAGGTTTGATGGTAAATACCTAAAATCCCCGGTGATGCAGTTCTGGAAGATCAAATCCAGAGCTTTATGCCTATGAGACTAACACTCTACCAACTGAGCTACAACCCCCATCCCAGAAATGTTTTAATTGCAATATGACACACATGACATATTGCGTAACTGTTCAGGTACTATATGACTTGACTTGTGGGAGTCTGAATGAGAATGTCCTCCACGGGCTCAGATGTTTCAGTGTTGGTCCCCAATGGATGGCAGTTGTTTGGGAGGTTTGAAGGTGTGGCCTTCCTGAAAGAAGCATGTTACTGGGGCAAGCTTTGAGGTTTCAAAGCCTCTTGCCATTGCTAGCATGTTCTCTTGGCTTGCTGTTCCAGCCCCCATGTCTGCTCTCTCCGATCCACCATGACAGATCCTAGTCCTCTGGAACCATGAGCCCAAACAGATGTTTCTCTCTTTATGCTGCCTTAGTCACGCTATTTTATCACTGCAATAGAAAAGTCACTAATACATGATTAATATTACTTTTTGAGGCCAGGTGATAGCAGTACATGCCTTTAATCCAAGCTTTTGCAAGGCAAAAGAAAGAGGATCTATGTCTTTGAGTTCAAGGTCAGCCTGGTCTACAGAGCAAGTTCCATGATAGCTAAATCTATACAGAGAAACCCTGTCTCAAAAAACCAAAAATAGAAAAAAAAATTTTTTTTGTCTCTAACAGTCAAGTATTTGTCGTTGGGGTCAATATCACCTTGGGAATGCATGGTCCAAATATAAAGTCCCACCGTCTAGATATGAACGATAACCATGAAAACCCCAAGTCACAGTTTTTAGACAGGCATGGAAAAAGTATATTCTAGCTACCGTTGAACAACAAATCAATTCAATTTTGGCTATGCAGAATTTGAGGAAGCTTAGATGTGCTAGATATATTGTCAGTGGGTGGAGAGACAGGTCTGAAGCTTAGAGTCTACTTGTAAAGGTCAATTAGGAAGACAAAAGACAGGCAGATATTTGGAGAAAAAAACACAGTTAACAAGTGCTCTGTCCTACTGAGAAGTCGAGTAAGATAAGGTCTGGAAAGTACACAACAGGCTAAGTGAACTGGGTACCACTGTAGTAACCTCACCTGTTGACTGAGGTGAGTGGAATAAATGTAAACCGTGTAGACCCATCTGCTCATCTCCAAAATCTGTAAGAATAAGAATCAGGAGAAGAAAATGTAGGTTGTCAATCTTATGAAACAAAAGTAAAAATATTAAAAAAAATTTCCCCCAAAATCTTGCTCTTACCTGGTTCTGGTGTTAAGGCTGATGATGTAAGTAAAATGAAAAATTCCCTATCTTCTAAGCATTTGATGATTGCCTAATTTAAAAAAAAAACCAAAATAAGTCTATTCAATCTCTCTACTTCTGGGAGAACTACTACAGACTGAGCAGGACTGACATTTTTGAAAGGTGGGCTCCATAATAGTTTCCACTTATCAGTGTAACTCATGCCATTTCGAGCTACTGAGAAGTGTGCAGATCATACTAACCTTTCTAATGAAACTAAAGTGGTGGTCAGAAGGAGCTCTGTCTCTTCCCACCCATGAGGAAAGGAAGCATGTAACCCTGAATGGCAGTCACAGGACAAAACTATCACACAGAAACTAATGTTATTTGCAAGTCAAAGTGTTTAAACCAACGCTATCATTAAGACAAGTCACTGTCCTAACACATGTGCATGCACGCATGGTCTGTTTTACTTTATTGATCTCTTTCTTCTTTTAAGATTAATATATTATATATAGTATTCTGCCTACATATACATCTGCATGCCAGAAGAGGGCACCAGATCTCATTATAGATGGTTGTGGGCCACCATGTGGTTGCTGGGACTTGACGGCTGAGCCATCTCTCCAGCCCACTTCATTGATTTCTTAATGTCTATTATGGGGACAGACAAGTCCTGGCTTGCTTCATTACTGTAGTTCAACATTTGCATCATTTCCTTTGTAATATTTAGAAATAACATCATAAAAGCTAGTTCAAACTCTGGGTCAAGCATCTATTTATATCATTACACTGAGAAACTTTGGCTAACATGACAGAGTCCTTTAAACCAGTAGCTATTCCTCGGTCTTATTGCCTCTACTATGAAAACACAAGAAAAACTTTCATAAACCCCTGGATATTGGTAAACGTAGCTTTCAAAGAAGCATCTAGGAAGTGGCACTGAGACTAATGCAAACACACCTAGGTAACTATCAATGTATCAAAGAACAAAGACTTAAGAGAAAAAAAAACCTTTGTTCTTTTAGTCAGAATAAACTGAACAATGAGACAAAAGGTAAGCTGAGATGTAAGAAAAATGAAAATGTCAGTTATAATATACCAGTATACACAACAACAAAACCCCTGCCAACAAGCTAAGTAATTCAGCTAATTTTCCAGTTTAAGGAAAAAAATAATTATACTTGAAATTAGTGATTCTTACCAATTGCTTATGTTCAATGTACTCGATTAGCTTATCTATGTTTTCTCCTTGTTTGTTTGACAGTTCCACTTCATATAAATCAAAGCATAAATCCTGGCAACAGACTGTAGAGGGAATCAGAAATACACAACATTTTAAATTTTAATTTAAAAGTATTCCTTGACAATTCCATACAGGTGTATAAAGTGTTTTGATCACATACACTCCCAATGCCCTCTCTTTAAAACATACATGTATGTATGTATTACGTACATATGCACACAACAGTGTGTCACTATGTTTTCCTGAAACTTGCTTTATAGACCAGGGTGACCTTGAACCCAGAGACTTAACTGCCTCTGCCTCCTTAGAATTGGGATTAAAGGCATGAACCACCATTCCATGCTTCAGAACATTTGTTTGTTTGTTTGTTGAAACAGGGTTTCTTTGTACAGACTTGGCTGCCCTAGAACTAGCTCTGTAGAGAAGGCTGGCCTCGAACTCCTAGAGCTCCATCCATCTGCCTCTGCCTCCCAAATGCTGCTCTCGTATTTGTTTTGAATTTAACAGTGCATAAATTAAAAACAATAAAAACTTTATGCATGAGAGGAATGGGTCTGAGTTTTCAGCTTTTTTTTTTTTAAGTACATTTGTTCAAGTCTCTGAGCATTCTGTACTAAAGATAAAATCTTTGTCCTCTCAGTTAGTTTCTAACAGGCATCCAAGAAGTAGAGAACAAGGTTACTCTACAGCTTTCTCAAGAGACCATTTTATGAATCATTTAAGATAAAATTTAGACATGTATGCAAATATTTGGATGACAGAGTGGACAGTAACTATAGTAAGTCCAGGGTATGTACTGTGATATTACATTTTGACAGACCTTTCTGCTCCAAATAATTCTGTCTTCTAAAGGCAGCTTCTGGTAGGCTTTCTTTCAGAGAAGATACTTTCATTACATACTTAAAATCTAGTTCCCGTGGCCTAAGAAAACAAAAATGTTATCAATCAGTGTAATAAATACTGACATAACCGTATCACTTTATAATTCAAATGCAAACAAAAGTATAACCATAAAACAGCCCTTCAGGGCTGGAGAAATGGCCTAGTTGTTAAAGAGTCTTACTCTTGCTGAGTTTGGTTCCTAGCACCCACAATGGGCAACTTGACTCCTTCTTTTGGCCTCTACTGGAACCTGCACATACATGCACATACATAACCCCACACAAGGCATGCATACATATACAATGTTTTAAAGCCCATAAATTCCAGGCTAGGTAATTTACATATCTATAAACAATATAAATTCTCACACATATGACCCATAGATATTATGTATAAACATGTTTACATGTATTCCTGGCAGGGCTCAATTATCCAGGTATGTTAAAAATTGTGTTCTAAAACTGAGACTTTTCAAAACTTACTAAATTGAAAAGTCTCTGAAATACTGGGTTATACCACAGAATAAGTCATGTGCAGATCTTTATTCTATTGTCTCTCCCAATTTTTTCTTTCTTCACAATTTATTTTGAAATGGTATCAGACCTATATAAAAGTTGTAAAAACAGCACAAAAAATTCTATACTTTAGTATATTTGCTTACTCTACATGCTTTTGGTTTTTCTAATTTTCTTTTTTTTTTTTTGAGAGGCATATCTGATACTCTATTACCTCAAAATACTTGCTCACATTCCTCCCCAAATAGTATTTCCTTGTACAATAAATTACCAAAAATGAACAAATTCACAATGATAGATTACCATTATTTAGCTTATACCTTATCCAAATTTTGCTAAGATTCTTCAAAAATCAACCATCACTAAGAAAAACAGACTGAGAAAGTTGCGTGTGTGTGTGCACGCGCGTGTGTACACACACACGTACAAATAGTAATCAAGAAAAAGAGGCTATCTATTTAAGGAGGGGGACAAAAGAGAAGCTAGAGGGAAGGGAACTGGGAGGGGCAAAAGGAAAGGGAAGGCATAAAGTAATGTAAATCTATTTCAGTTAAAAGCACATTTGAAAACTTTTAAAAAGCTGGGCAGTGGTGGCTCAAGTCTTTAATCCCAGCACTCTGAGAGGCAGAGGCCAGCCTGGTCTGCAGAGCAAGTTCCAGGATAGCCATAGCTACACAGAGAAACTATCTCAAAAACAAAAACAAAAAACTTAAAAAATAGATTTTCCTAGAGAGATAGCGCACCTTTAACCCCAGCACTCGGGAGGCAGAGACAGGTGAATCTCTGAGTTCGAGGTCAGAATGGTCTACAGAGAAACCCTGTCTTAAAAAACCAAAGTGATTTTCAGTTGTCTCCAGTGGAGAGTCTGCCTTTTTTATCATTTATGATTAATATGCAGGTTGTAGGAAAATATTAAAAGACACACAAATAACCAAATTTTCACTTTTTTATCATCTAATTGAATACTATGTGCTACCATTTTTTCCTATATTTAGTAACTACATTCTACAGCAAGAAAGAGCTTTTCTTTCTTTTAAAATTATTTTTCACAAAATTCTTACTTTACTATTTATGGGCTATACTATACCTGTTCTCTGTTCTTACAAATGGCCAACAGAAAATGAATTCTGACAGAATTAAGTTCTCAAGTCAACTAAACTATAGCTATCCTTCAGTGATATGGAGTACAAAGCATGAACAGAACAAACAAAATGGTTTCTTAAGACGTCCTTCACAGTTCCCCAAGAGAGAAATTAAAAAAAAAGATAATGAAGAAACAACTTCACTATCATAATTCATCATACTACACACAGATTTAACAGTTACTTTTAGTAATTTTTGCAAGGGGGTGATCTGAGTATTAGAACATCAAATTATGTAAATCTTAATGAAGAATCAATAGGGACTATCATTAGCTGTATTGCTCTCTGGACAAATTTCATTTGTTTTAGAGGAAAGGTAAACTATTAATATAAGGTAATTCAGTCAGGCACGGTAACAGACTCATGGAGTCCCAGTTATTCAGGAAGCTGAAGTGAGAGGATCACTTGAATCTATAAATTCCAAACCAGCCTGGCCAATACAACAAGATCCCATCTCAACTACAACAACAGAAATTTCCCTTAAGGATTAGAATTCGGGTCACTTGTGTACTTATACTCTACACACTCAATCAAATGTATTCTAACCTAAAACCAAGTAAAATATACAAAATATACCTCACACCATTAAGACCTTGAAATGAGTACCGAGTACCCAGGACTGGAAAAACAAAATATGCATTAAGGATGACATCAAATATAATACTTACAGTTGTACTGGAATTACTGTGCCATAAGTAGAACAAAGAGTTATATCACACAGGAAACAACCTTGAATAATTAACTGCCCTTTCCATGGAGAGATGAGAGCTTGAAGAAATGAGAACAAAAAGAAGCTGATTACTTTGTGAAATATTTACTAAAACAACAAAATCTATAAGAATTATTTAATTTCTTACCATTTTTATTGAGTTCAAGTCTAGAAAGAGACAAAAAACAATTTTTATTAGAGGAAGAAAAACAACTCAAACAAACAAAGTACACAGGCAATTACTCACGTGTTTTTATAAGGGGGCGTTGCCATCTTTTAGGTTCCCAGGATTGAAAAGCTACAATTATAAGAGGAAAGGTCTGTCTGGGTCATTTAATAACAGCGTTGCCTGAAAGTTCATAGAGGTAATTCTGAAAGAAGGAAAAATGTACTATTAGTACTATGGAATCACCCATGGATTAAATTTATCCCAACCCTAGTCAAACGTGAAATTTAGAACATTAGGTTAAGAAATATTTTTTTAGGTATAATTTATTTATAGTGACTATACCTGACTTAGTTCGAAGGCACGAAAATGACTTCTTTTGTAAGAAAACATGTAGGTACCTGCAGCCACATGTCAGACACTGTCAGAAGATGGCCTAGGGTAGTTACCTGTACAATTCTCAGACACAAACTTGATTTTTCCCTAGAATGAAAACATTAAGACTCATCAGATGTCTTCAAATAGCAATAGCCTTAACAGTAGGGCTCATTTCAAAATAGGGTTATAGAAGTATTTTTTTCACCAGTAACCAAAATAAAAGTTATGCTTCTTAGAAAAATAATCATCTTATGGTCACTGATGGTTTTAACCACCCATAAGCACTTTAAAACTTGAAAAAATAGCTGTACTTGGGTATCTTTCTAAAGTTTCCATCATAGTATCAAAGGAATACCTGATCACACCAATTACCTTTAATGAAACTTCACTGAATGGCTATGTAATAGTTGTAATAGGAAATAAAACAAATAAAACCTAAATTATGAAAAGATAAATTTCCTCCAGACACTGGTGGCACACACCCTTAATCCCAGCACTTGGGAGGCAGAGGCAGGTGGATCTCTGTGAGGTCGAGGACAGTTTGGTCTACAGAGCTAGTTCCAGGACAGCTTAGGGCTGTTAAACAAAGAAACCCTGTCTCAAACAAAACAAGATGAATTTCCAAAGCAAAGAATTGATGAACTGTAATTTATGCCAGTGAACAGAAAGTCCTCAAATGAAGAACATGTAATGAAGTGAATCAATCACAGGCAGATGTCTTTGACCACTGAATGATCAACAGTATTTCCTTTGGTAGAATAGAAAGGATTAAAAGTCAGGTTCCCTGAAGCTAGGAGTATAACTAAGTAATAGAGTTCTCGCCTAATGTGAGCAAATAGGGGAAAGGCCTTAGTTTTGATTTCTAGCAATAGGAAAAAAAAAAAAGTCAAGTCTTAACATAGGATGAAACGGCATAGAATGAGTAAGTGCTAAGGGGGGAGGGGCTCATAAGCCTCTACTAGTAGCTGAGGAGTTACTGACAGTTGATAGCTTCTGGGGGAGGGAGAGTTCTCTTTAAGGGTATAGTCCCAATATGTCCACCACACTCCCAGTGAGTGACACCACACTCATGGTTAGTTATATGGGCAGCACAAACGGGATTAGGTAGTTTACTTAGGGAAAAAAAGGACAGGAAGTTGAGAAGGGTTAGGGAAGGGGGAGATGAATCTGAGAGAAGTTACAGGAGTAAATATCAAAACACATTATATGAAATCCTCAAATAATTAACAAAACTACAATAGTAAATAAAAGACCAGGGGCTGGCTCTAATGATTAAGAACACTGGCTACTCTTCTAGAGGACTTGGGTTTAATTCCTAGCAGCCAAATGATGACTATTAACTGAGTGATAATTCTAGTTCCAGGGGATCTGAAACCCTCTTCTGGCTTCCTCGGGCACCAGGCATGTACACTGTATACAGATAGATGTTTAAGCAAAACATTCATATACAAACTAAAAACAAATCTGTATACTGTATGGTCCTATTTACATACATATCTAAAACAGACAGATCCAAAAAGGTGGGAAATAGACCAGTTGCCTGGGTTGGTGACGAGAGGGTCGAAGATTGATTACAGTGATGGTTTCACAAATCTGAATACATGAGAACAACACACATGCTAGACCACACAGTTTAAATGGGTGAATACTACTGCACAGGAAATACTGTGAAGCACCTTAAAAACCACAATCATCAGCAATCAGCCAGTGTGCATAATGATCTTTTTCAGTCCTCAGTTATATTTTGCTCTACCATCACTACTAAACACCCTCTTTTTGAGTTCCTGCTGCTGTGGGGTGCATATGTTCCTCCACTTCCCGGTTATCTAGATTCATCTACTCTACTACTCCTATACAAGCCACCTAATACCCCAACCCTGGATCCCTCCTACACTACTTTTATTACTACAAGGCTATTTCAGAAACATCTTGAAAGGCTGAATATTTCTTTAATTCATAAAAATAGTACCCGTCCACTTACTGAGAAATTAAGTACAAGTTCTTTTTCCTTGGTAAAGGACTTTAAATGTCATTTAATCCTCACAGTAATCCTACAAAGTAAACTATTTTTTCAAATGAGAAAACAAAGCATAAAACTTTCATGCTAATTGTTTTTAACTATTACCTACTTATCGCCCTGAATTCATCAGCATCCCTGTCAATCTTTTCTTCTTGCTTTCTTTCTCCTCAGGGCACCACTGCAGCGTGTTGAAAGCTTTACAGTCTCGCTCACCCCTAACATTCCACAGTTGTCAAGCTTGCTCAGATCTATTTGTTCTCTATTCTTTTATCAGTACAATGGCATAGGAGTCTTACCAAATACCAATCTCTTGGCACTGAAAAATATCGTTTTAGATTCAAAACTCAATTATGTCTAAACTTCTAATTGAAGATTATGACCTGCTTAACACTAATGAATCTAGCTTTTATTATAGCCACCTCAGGGAATAACTAAGCCTCACTTCATTTTGTAGAAGACGAAATTCACTTTCCTCAGCCCTACATCTGGCTGAACCGCTCAGAGTGGTAACAGCACTTGGTCAACATAGAGTGCACACTGACATGCCAACTGTGCCTTTTAACAATGGAACTATTTTGCTTATTACAAATGTTAAAATGAAAATTAAAAATCTTAAAATAATTTATATACTCTATAAAGCAATATACAATCTGATCACTGTATATTCACAGCTCAAAACAAGCTCATGTACAATAAACAAGTTATATCTACAAATGACCGTTTTCATCTGACTGCAAATTGCTTACCTTTGGATTCAATATTCAACTTTAAAATAAATGTAAGTTACATTTTTTTTTACATGTATATGCGTGGAGGTCAGAGGGCAATTGGAAGGAGTTGGTTCTCTCTGTCCACCAAGTGGATTTGAGGTCAAACTCAGACCACCAGGTTTGACAGCAAGTGCCTTTATCCATTGAGCTATCTTGCCCCCTCCTCCATGATTTTTGAAAGAGGGTCTCTCTCATCCTGTAGTCCAAAGCAGCCTTGAACTTGTAGCAATCTTTCTTTCTCAGTCTCCTAAGTGCAATATTTAATTTCTGAAGACTGTTTCTAATATTCTTAAAATTTGATATACAAAGTTTCTGATCACCAGGCTGATACTTACAATTTTGAAAGTATTATTTTTTGTTTTGGCATGATGTACAAAAGTAAATAAATTGCTTGAGATCATATAATTTTGTTATTATTAAAATTATTTTAACATGTATGTGGTATGTGCATTTCTCTCTTGTGATACTGGGGATCTCACATGTTAAATGCTCTACTGAGGCACACCCTCCCTGTCCTTTATGATGACATCCATATAAACTCAGTGACAATGTTCTGACTCATCATATTGGGTTTATGAATTTGTGCTTTGGCATTTAAACTATTAATTCTTAACGAACTGGTTGCACCAAACTCACTGGTATGCTGTATATCTTTCAAAAAAATATTAAATAGTTTTTCTTAGAAAAAAAATCTAAAAGAAAAAGCTGAATTAATTTTTCTGTGACAATTACATTTTAAAATCCATCTTTGATTCTATCCATCATTATATCTTACAAAGAGGCAAAAAATAAAATAAGTTTTAAAACTGCTTTCACCGCTAGATATATTCCACCCCAAATGCTCTGAGCACAAAGTAGAGGATTTCCACTGAGGAGAAACAGGTCCTGTACCAAATGAGCTGGGCCTTCAGAGCTGGGGTCAAATATCTCTTCTCCTAACGAGAGAGCAGCTGTACATTAAAGGGCATATTTCATCAAGCAACAGTGTACTGACTATTGGCAAGGGGTTTAGTTCTCCAATTAAATGCTGTTATATCTTATTAAGGAAAAACAGAAAGTATGCCCTAGGCACATTTCTTATGACAAAAGCAGTAATTAAAACAGAAACCAATTTAAAAAGACAAAAAGAAAAAGACTAGAAGAGAATATTCACTATGCAAATAATAAAAGATTTATACTAATACATTAAGACAGAATTTAAAAAATGAAAATTCACATTTCAAGAGTCATTTAATAGCCAATAATCATTAAAAAACACTTTCAGTTTACAAACTTATATAATTGCAGTCGGAGAAAAAAAACCCATAGATTTTAACAGGTGAATTGGTAGCAAGAATGGAAGCCAAAGACAGAAATGAGGCTATCTGAGGACATGTAAGGAGTATTTAAAACCAACATGCTAAAAATCAATCATCAAAGTACAATGTTTACATTCAGCAAAAACATTTTCCAAGAAAGTGAACCAAAAAAGTTTATCATCAAAACTAAAAAACAAACAAACAAACAAACTTTTAATAAAAGCGGCTACTTTAATCACAAGGAAGACAGCTCCAGATGCATAAAGACAGTCATGAGTGGAGAGCACAGAAGACATGTGAGAAATATTAAGTACTGGCTTTCTAAATCCCAACAACTCTCAACAGGCTGCCAGCTACGTGATAACAATTTTAAAAGGAGTTCTATTACATGACAAAAATAGCATATAAATCATGAGGGTGATTGAAGCAATTCTAAGATAAAGATGTTTGTAAAAAATTTGAATAATCAAGAACATAGAATTCTAGTAAAATATATAATTTCCAAGCAAGTAGATCTTAAATCAATATAAAAATGAAAAGACTAGAAACATAGGACAAACAAACAAAGAATTACACTAAATGCAAATAAATTGTAATGCTCTGCCCCTAAAGATATTTAAAATTGCTTTAAAAAATTTCCAGGCAATGGAGCTGATGGTTATGTGGTTAAGAGCACATATTGCTCTTGAAGAGGCCCCAAATTAAGTTCTTAGCATCCTGTAGCTCCAGATACAGGATCCAACACCCTCTTCTGGCCTACAGATACTTGCCCTCAAGTGACCATACCCTCACAAAGACACATGTAAAACTTAAAATAAATATGAAGTCTTAAAAAAAAAATCCCAGCAGGGTATGATGGAACATACCTGTAATCCCAGAATTTGGGAGACTTGGCAGGGAAATCATAGGTACAAGGGCAACCTAAACTACATGTCAGATAAACAAAGAGAGAAAAAAAAGAAAATTCTAACAGATACTCTTTTACTTATTAGTGGGACTAGGAATTGAATCCAGAGTGGCGCAAAAACTAGGCATATGTCAACATTTAGAGCCCTTCCATTTACCCTTTTAAGTATTTACTTGAAATATAAAAGTATTGGGCTGGGGATATTGCTCAGTTGTAGTTTAGTTTGTATTAAACTTTAGATTCAATTCTTAGCACGACAAAATAAACGAATAAATAAAAAATACAAGTGTCTATACCATCTAGTTTTATCAAAATAGTTTAGTGAGAAATTTAAAATAAACATTTTTCATTGTTAAGAATAATATAAGTGAGAAGCTTAGAGGTAAGATGAATCAAAGCAAGTTGGGCAGTAAGAAGAGATAGTCAAAATTAAAATTTAAAAAGGAGATGTAAAATAGTAAGACATTTCAAAAGAGGATACCTGTAATAACAAATGACAAATATTAAAAGAAATCTTAGAAAAATCTAATTTACCACATGTGGCACCCTAAATTAATTTTAAAAAGTCTTAAAGCTGGGTGGTGGTGGTGCATGCCTTTAATCCCAGCACTCGGGAGGCAGAGGCAGGCGGATCTCTGTGAGTTTGAGGTCAGCGTGGTCTACAAGAACTAGTTCCAGGACAGGCTCCAAAGCTACAGAGAAACTCTGTCTCGAAAAACCAAAAAGTAGCTTTTAACCACTAAAGAGATTAAACCACTAACCTAACATCTGCCACAAACAAAACTGTAGGCTAAAGTGAATTCAATGACAAATATTTCTGGCAGCAGTGATTAGGAGCAGTCCAATGACAGAGATATGGTGAGGAACATAATATATTCTTACAATACATTGTATCTTGAAGGAAATGATAAACAAAGGCTCTCTAAGAGGTGATGACTATGCTAGTTAATGTGATCTCACATTCACACACACAGTAACACTTGTCATCATTTAGAAGACCAGTATTTTCCCAAATGACTAATGAAAGAATGAAAGCCAAAGTGCAAACTAGATAAACTCATTTTAATAAGTTCATTCATAAGATTTCAAATTTACACTGTAGGCAACTTTTAACAAACTATTATCAAAATTGATGAATACCAAAGAAAACACATCTGAAAATGTTATTAAAATGTCTTTCTTTTTCCAAATACTTAGCTAGCCAATGCCAGACTATTGTGCCATATACTTCAACTAAAACAATCTATTATAACAGACTAAGTGCAGAAGCAATACTTGAACAATAAAGGTGACAGGAAGGCCATTTGCAAAAAACATATTACAATGCCACTCTTATCACTAATATTTTTTGGAAGGGAAATGGCGTGCTTGTCTGGAACACACAAAGCCCCACCTCAATCCCTAGCACTGCACAAATCCAGTATGGCAGTGTGTCTATAATCTCAGCATTTAAGAGAAGGCAGCAAGAAAATCAAGTGTTCAATCAAGGCTAGCCTGGGCTACAGTTAAAAAAAAATGTGAAAGAGCATGGATACTACTGTAACATAAATCTTGGAACATAAAATGTAAGTATAAAGTATGATTCTCTTTAAGTTCAAAACAAATGAATATTTATTGGTTAATGAAATAAAGACCATGCATGATGACAGTTCAAGGAATATTTTCCTTCTAGAATAGATGCACACAAGTCATTTCTAATGTACCTGCAGTGCTCTACTAAGCAAGGTGCAGAGATATCCTACTTGCTTTTTCTTTGTAAATTTATTTTTAATACAATAAAATCTGTTCTCTTAGAAAGGAAAAAATCAAAACAATGTCTTTTCTTAAATCTATAAATTTATTTTTTTTTTAATTTTTGTTTTTTGAGTAGCTTTGGAGCCTGTCCTGGAACTAGCTGTTGTAGACCAGGCTGGCCTCGAACTCACAGAGATCCACCTGCCTCTGCCTCCCAAGTACTGGGATTAAAGGCGTGTGCCACCACTGCCTGGCAAATCTATAAATTTATAAATGCAATGAATAAGCTACTCAATGCAAATACAAGTATTCCAGTGAGAGTTTCTATAGAAATTAAGATCATTCTTAATTTATGGAAGAAAGAAAAAAAGAAGAATCCAGAGTTTTCTCTGGTTCCCTAAAAGAAAGTCCCAATTTATATTATAAAGCTACCACAAGTAAAACAGTATGGTAGCTGCTAAATAGGTCAAAGAGTGTTCAGATCCAAGGCCATAAACAAGGGTTAACAGACTGTTCCGAATGTTTGACTTTCTTACTCATTAGGGAAGATTAAAAATTAAAACAAGATCTTTTTCAACTATTAGATAGGTTAAGATGTTTAGAAAACATTGTTACTCTCCAGTGCTGCCTAGCAGTAATGAAAACCATACCTAAGAGGAAATGAAAATATAAAAAAACAATCACCCCAGGGCATTTAACAGACTGCCTAGAGTTCTCATAAGAATTTGAGTCTACAGAAACATTATCAGCAGCATCCAAAGACTGTTTATAACAGCTGCAGTGCAAAAAAACAAAACAAAACTCAGCTCTACAGAATTGCCGTGAGAAAAATCTTAAAATCCACCGATGAGACACAAAGAATAAACATGGCTAAGATACTTGTATTAAATAGATATGCTATGGGAAACAAGTACCAGGCAAGTTTCCTGGCAGTTTTCAAATTTCAATTTATTTAAACAAATGTTTGGGCTGGAAGAGATGCCTGCCAATTTATCTTTCTTACTTAGAAGAATGTAACAATTTAAAAGAATGTGACAGTTAGAAAATACACTGGCAACACATTTCAAACATTTTCCTTAAAATAATAATTACAGAGAAATAACTTGGCTATCTTTTTTTTTTTTCTCTAACATCGGCTCACTGGGTATTGGTATACCGGAGATAATAGAGCTCTCCTTTACTACAAAACAATTTTCCAAACGAAAAGCACCCTCTTACACTACCAAGTATATATGCTCTGTACCAAACCTCTTAGGTAAGATTTCCAACAACCTCTGATTCTATACTACCACATATACGCTCCAGTCTTCTATCTGCTTTCTGAGGGGGGAAACACTCTGAGTCCTCGGGTCATTGTACAAGGGTAAGAAAGATTTTCATTAACTGTCCCATCCTAATTTGACCTTCAGAGAGAATACAGGATCAAGCTGCTTAAAGTAAAGCATTTCAAATTGCTAAATCGCGATGAAGAGAAACCCGAAAACTTTCAATCTCCGATTCTGAAGCTAAGCCACTTCTCCTATCAAGTGCTAGTTGGTACTATCTTCTGACCAACTGCGGGACCCAACCCACTGCAATATTCCTTTCCACGTTACTCCAGCCGGCTGCTGACTGCCATATGGGTAGGCCCTTTTATACGTAATAAATAAGTAACGCCACGTGTTGCCTCGGCGCCTACAGCATTCACAAACTTGACTTGAGGGTTTCCCTAAGAAACCTCAGGGAATGTGCTAGTCCGACCCGAATAAACGGAAAACTTCAGTGCAGAACTGATCACATCCCTTGGGAATGGAGCTGACCTGTGACAGGCGACGCAAACAAAACGCTCTTAAGAGTCTTTCGCACCCCTGAGTGCAGAGACGAATCCCGAAGCCCTCCACGGGCTCGCACCATGACTACCTTCTTCAAGTTGGACCGTGGCTACCCGTCCGGGGCGACCCAGACATCTGTCCAGTGCCCCCCGAGGGACGCCCATCCCGCTCGCCAGCCCTCGCTCGCCAGCCCTCGATCACCACTGGTGCCCCCGACGCGCGCGATTCAGCCTTCCATACGGGTGTCTGTGGAGATCCTTGCCCGAGACGCCCCAACACTCAAGGGAGCGTTACCTGTCCCCGGCGCGGCCGCCTTCCCTGAGGAGTCGAGTTCACCGCTCAGTGTCCTTCCCATGCTTTTCCTGCGCGTCCCTTTCTCCTCCAGGCCCCTCGCCCTGAGGCGACTCCCGACCTCTCCTCAGACGCGGGCCGCGTGCGCCCCAGTCGCTCAGCCACACAGACGGGTAGCAGCCTCGGTTCAAGCCCGGTGCTGGGAACCGGTCCCCTCTCTGGCCCCAGGCACCCGCAACCGGAAGTGAAACCTCGTGGCCCTAGGAAATAGGGAGGGGGCTAGAAAGACAGAAAGTGAAAACTGAAGCGCCGTGGTCTCGTAACAGACGGGAGCCAATCACAAGGAGGACGCCAAGGCGCAGGCGCGAACGACAGCGGCGTCCACGTTGCGCTTGCTTTTCCACTGTGCGCAGGCGCGGGGCGGACAGCGCTTGCTTCGGATTGGATGGCCAACCCAGTTCCGCTGCTTCTCACCGGATGTAGGCTGCCGGATATGGAATCGTGCACAGGAAGTGAAGTTCCTCAGTCAGGGCCTCTAGTGTCTCCTGGGTCGCTTATGCGCGACTTCCTGTGCTTCGTGTAGCAGGTGCTATTGTGACAGGACTAGATGGTACAGAGACTTCCGTCTTGTATTCTTGCTGAGGTCATTTCAGGTTTAATTAGAATCTGATCTCCTTAATGGAGGACCCTGTAGAAAATTACCCAATTCTGTTCTAAGACCATAGGCCAAGATGCCCCAGCTGACTTTTTTACCTTTTTTTTTTTCTAAGTTTGCCATAGTTAAAGCTTTTCAGTCTTTTTTTTTTTTTTCTGAGTCATCTCCTTGGCCTGGTTGTTGCCTTTTTTTTTTTGGTATATTTTTTATTGATATTTATTGAGCTCTACATTTTTCTCTGCTCCCCTCCCTGCCTCTCCTCTCCCTGCTTCAATCCACCCCCAAGGTCTCCATGCTCCCAATTTACTCAAGAAATCTTGTCTTTTTCTACTTTCTACTTCCCATGTAGATTAGATCTATGTAAGTCTCTCTTAGTGTCTGCATTCTTGTCTAAATTCTCTGGGATTGTGGTTTGTAGGCTGGCTTTCTTTACTTTATGTTTAAAAACCACCTATGAGTGAGTACGTGTGATAGATATTTGCCTTTCTGTGTCTAGGTTACTTCACTCAAAATGATGTTTTCTAGCTCCATCTATTTTCCTGCAAAATTCAAGCTGTCATTATTTTTTTCTGCTGTGTAGTACTCCATTGTGTAAGTGTACCATATTTTCCTTAGCCATTCTTCAATCAAAGGCATTTAGGTTGTTTCCAGGTTATGGCTATGACAAACAAAGCTGCTATGAACATAATTGAGCACAATGTCCATGTGGCACGATTGAGCATCCTTTGGATATATACCGAAAAGTGATATTACTGGGTCTTGAGGAACGTTGTTTCCTAATTTTCTGAGAAATCGCCACACTGACATCCAAAGGGGTTGTACCAGCTTGCATTCCCACAAGCAGTGCAGAAGTGTTCCCCTTTCCCCACAACCTCTCCAGCATAAGTTGTCATCAGTGTTTTTGATTTTGGCCAGTCATACAGATGTAAGATGGAATCACAGAGTTGTTTTGATTTGCATTTCTCTGATGACTAAGGATGTTGAACAGTTCCTTAAGCGTCTTTCAGCCATTTTAGATTCCTCTGTTGAGAGTTCTCTGTTTAGCTCTGTTTAAATTGGATTATGTGATCTTTTGGTGTTCAATTTCTTGAGTTCTTTGTATATTTTGGAGATCAAACCTCTGTCTGATGTGGGGTTAGTGAAGAACTTTTCTCATTCTGTAGGCTGTTGTTTTGTCTTGTTGACCATGTCCTTTGCTTTACAGAAGCTTTTCAGTTTTAGGAGGTCCCATTTATTAATTGTTTCTTTCAGTGTCTGTGCTGCTGGGATTATATTTAGGAAGTGGTTCCCTGTGCCAATGCGTTCAAGTGTACTTCCCACTTTCTCTTCTATAAGGTTCAGTGTGGCTGGCTTTATGTTGAGGTCTTTGATCCATCTGGACTTGAGTTTTGTGCATGATGATAGATATGGATCTATTTTCATTCTTCTATGTGTTGATATCCGGTTATGCCAGCACCACTTGTTAATATGCTTTCTTTTTTCCTTTTTTTTTTTTTTGCTTCTTTATCAAGGATCAAGTGTTCGAAGATGTGTGGATTGATATCCAGGTCTTCTATTTGATTCTATTGGTCCTCCTGTCTGTTCTTATGGCAATGCCAGGCTGTTTTCAGTACTGTAACTCTGTAGTAGAGTTTAAAGTCAGGGACTGTGATGCCTGTAGAAGTTCTTTTATTGCACAGGATTATTTTGGCTATCCTGGGTATTTTGCTTTTTCAAATGAAGTTGAGTATTGTTCTTTCGAGGTCTTTGAAGAATTTTGCTGGGATTTTGCTGGGCATTGCGTTTAATCTGTAGATTGCTTTTGGTAAGATTGCCATTTTTACTATGTTAATTCTGCCTACCCAAGAGTATGAGAGGTCATTCCTCTTTCTGGTGTCTTCTTCAGTTTCTTTCTTAGATTTAAAGTTCTTATCATACAAGTCTTCCACTTGTTTAGTTAGAGTTACTCTGAGATATTTTATGTTATTTGTGGCTATTGTGAAGAGTGTTGATTCTCTGATTTCTTCCTCAGCCTTTTATCATCTGTGTACGGGAGGGCTACTGATTTTTTTTAATTAATCTTGTATCCTGCCACATTGCTGAAAGTGTTTATGAGTTGTAGAAGTTCCTTGGTAGAATTTTTGGGATCACTTATGTAAACTGTCATATCATCCGCAAACAGTGAGAGTTTGACGATTTCTTTTCCAATTTGTATCCCTTTGATCTCCCTTTGGTGTCTTATTGCTCTAGCTAGGACCTCAAGAATTATATAGAATAGATATGGAGTGAGGGAAAAACCTTGTCTTGTTCCTGATTTCAGTGGAATCACTGGGAGTTTCTCTCCATTTAGTTTGATGTTGGCTGTTGGCTTGCTGTATACTGCCTTAATTATGTTTAGGTATGTTCCTTGTATCCCTGCTCTCTCCAAGACCTTTATCACAAAGGGATGTTGAATTTTGTCAAATGCTTTTTCAGCATCTAATGAGATGATCATGTGGTTTTTATTTTTCAGCTTGCTTATATGGTGGATTACGTTGACAGATTTTTGTATGTTGAACCATCCCTGCATCTGTGAGATGAAGCAGAATTGGTCATGATGGATGACGGTTCTGATGTGTTCTTGGATTCAATTTGCTAGCATTTTATTTAGTATTTTTGCATCAATGTTCATGAAAGAGATTGGTCTGTAATTCTTTTTCTTAGTACTGTCTTCTGCCGTTTGGATATCAAGGTAATTGTAGCCTCATAAAAAGAGTTTGGCACTGTTCCCTCTGTTTCTATTGTGTGGAACAATTTGAGGAGTATTGGTATTAGTTCTTTTTTGAAAGTCTTGTAGAATTCTGAGCTGAAACCATATAGTCCTGAGCTTTTTTTGGTTGGTAGACTTTTGATGACTGTTTCTATTTCTTCAGCCATTATAGGTCTGTTTGATTTGCTTATCTTGTCTTGATTTAATTTTGGTAAGTGATATTTATCCAGAAAGTTGTCCATTTCCTTTAAGTTTTCCAATTTTGTGGAGTACAGGTTTTCAAAATATGACCTGATGATCCTCTGTATTTCCTCCATGTCTGTTGTTATGTCCCCCTTTCCATTTCTGATTTTGTTAATTTGGATATTCTCTCTCTGCCTTTTCATTAGTTTGGATAAAAGTCTGTCTATTTTGTTGATTTTCTCGAAGAAACAAGTCTTTGTCTCATTGATTCTTTGTATTGTTTTCTTTATTTCTATTTTGTTCATTTCAGCTCTCAATTTGATTATTTCCTGCCATCTAGTTCTCTTAGGTGAATTTGCTTCTTTTCATTCTAAAGTTTTCAAATGTTTTCTTAATTCACTAGTGTGGGACTTTTCCAGCTTATTTATGTAGGCATTTAGTGCTATGAACTTACCTCTTAACACTACTTTCATTGTGTCCCATAAATTTGGGTATGTTGTGTGGTCATTTTCATTGAATTTTATGAAGTCTTTAATTTCCCCCTTTATTTCTTTCTTGACCCGTTGATGATTCAGGTGAGCATTGTTTAATTTCCATGTGTTTGTGGGTTTTCTGTAATTAGTATTCTGTTGACTTCTAGTTTTAAATCATGGTGATCTGATATAGGGTACATTGCGTTATTCCAATTTTTTTGTATTTGTTGAGATTTGTTTTGTTACTGAGTATGTGGTCAATTTTTGAGAAGGTTCCGTGAGGTGCTGAGAAGAAGCTATATTCTTTTCTGTTTGGATGGAATATACTATAGATGTCTGTTAAGTCCATTTGAGTCATGACATGTTAGTTCTCTTATTTCTCTGTTCATTTTTTTTTGTCTGATTGACCTGTCCAGTGATGAGAGGAGAGTGTTGAAGTCTCCCACTATTAGTGTGTGGGGTTTCATATATGGTTTAAGCTTTAGAAGTGTTTCTTTGACATATGAGGGTGCCCTTGTATTTGGGGCATAGATGTACAGTATTGAAATTTCCTCTTGGTGGATTTTTTCTGTGACTAATATGAAATGTCCTTCTTTGTTTCTTTTGACTGATTTTAGCTTGAAGTCTATTTTGTTAGATATTAGGATAGCTACATCCACTTGTTTCTTAGGTCCATTTGATTGTTATTTTTTTCCCAATCTTTTACTCTGAGACTATGTTTGTCTTTGAGGTTGAGATGCATTTCTTGTATGCAGAAGAGTGATGAATTTTGTTTTCGTATCCAGTCTGTTAGCCTGTGCCTTTTTATAGGTGAGTTGAGTCCATTTACATCAAGGGATATTAATGACCAGTGGTTACTATCTTCTGTTAATTTAGTTTTCATCGTTGGTGATGTTAATTTGTGCATTTTTTTTCTTTTGGATTTGCTTTAATGACTCACGTTAGGACCTGAAGGGGTTCCAGGTTTCTGCCTATTCCCTTTCATGTCCCAGACCAATGCCCGAACCCACAGAGGACCTGGCTCAGGCCTACTCTCTCTGAGGTCCCCTAGTTTTACCTTTTAAAGCCCCTTGGTGTAAATGCTTAGGCTACACTTGGGCCCAAATACTTGAGTGAGCCACCATGTGTTTGCCAGGAATTGAACTCAGGACCTCTGGAAGAGCAAGCATTCTGGTGGAAGGTTCACCCCATCCCCTGGCATTCATATACCCAAACAGTCTGGAATGTTGTGGTAGGAGGTTTTGTCTCAGCAACTGGCATCCATATACCCAAAGAACTGGGATATTCTCCACCCCAAG